CCCCCCTCTCTCTCTCATTAGAATACTAGCTACTATAGGAGAACGATAAGAAGAGCCTCTGAACCAACACTTATCAACAATGTATAATGCACCGTATGTATTGCTCGTTTGCTCGGATGATCTACATTCTTTTTTTGTTTCGGTCAACCCCATCTTGTAACATGTATTTCTTTTTCTGTGCGAGGAATCCTGATTCTCTGCACCCAATACACTAATGTAAATTTGAATTAGATTCTAATCTTCTTTCTCACCCAGTTCTGTCTTTTGCACGACAAAGACATCACCCAATTCTCGTTAACCTACATACAAATTAAACTATTTGACCTTATATCGCTACAATGTGAGTAACAGTGAGTATTATGTGAGTGCTAGGTCCCTTCCACCACCCCAGACCATTAGTTACAAGAAAAGAAATAAATTATAGGCTAAATATTATAAACAAAAACTCAACAAAAAACAACAAAAAAGAATAGAAGACGACTTACGGTTGTAAAGAAAATAAGCGTTCAAAGTAAACTGAACTGATTTATTCCATCACATGGGTTGGCTATTGCTTTGGAAAAATACAAACAAACAAACAAACAAACAAACAAAAACCCCAAAACAAACGAACAAAAAAGGGATATTCCTTTTCTGCGACAGAAAGGGAGAATACTGTGATGGCCATATGTGTCTTTAAACATTGAAGATTCCTGTGAGACGTGTCGTAAACACAAAACTGGTTTGCTTATCACGAGCTTCAAACCGAAACGGGAAATATATTGGGCTAAAAGTGCCTCCTGTCGGCAGCGGATGTAGTCACATCCTCATCTCAAAATGTTCAAGAACTTGAAAAAGAAATTGGAACAGGGAGTAGCTCAATCAAAGGCTGCAGTCACAAATCTATCGTCTGGTAACAAGGTACAGTCTGACTGCTGGCTGGACCAGAGTCGTAGAGAGTCAAGACTTTAAATATTTTGCAGGAAAGGCTTATCCCTGACTATTTTTCTTCGTCAAAGAAATGCTTTGCTCCCTTCCCCATTACTATTACAATTTACAACTTACATTGCTTTAATAGATTCTATCTAGATATATATGTTTAGTTTAGAAGAGCAGTGCAACCCTTTCACAATAGTAAACTGGAGTTGGAGGATGTTGAATCTAAAATACATAGCGAGCACCTAGATCTAGATCTAGATCTAGATTCTAGATCTAGCACACCTCTGTGATTGGCCCAAATATAGATCTAGATTAGATGACGTATTTCCGCCATGTATTTTTGACGTCTACCGGGGTTTCTCCCAAGACTCTTGGGTTTTCCTCGCCAGTAGGCTAACCGTTGACTAGATTTCGCCGTGTTTGGGGATTTTTTGGTATTAATTTGTGTTATCTTTTATAAACAATCTCAGCAATTCTCGTTCCATAAATTTACCTTCTCCTCAAAGTTGTACACGCACACATTATTATACACACACACACAAACGTGCGCGCACACACACATGTGTGCGCACACACACGCTCATATACAGCTCAAGCAATCGGCGATGAAACCTTGAGATGTAATCCTTAGACTCGCGCTAATAAGGTTAGATCAAGTTAACTGGCAAGGGAAGCGCGAGGAAAACCCCGGAAGACAACAAAAATAGATGACGGAAGTACGTCATCTATATCTGGGCTCCAATCACAGAGGTGTGCTAGGTGCTCGCTGTAGCTTCATGTAGCTGAAATTGTCTCTCTCCGCATTTTCTCTGCTATTTCTTCTAATTAAATTATTCAACTACGATTACACTTACTCTCATTGTCACAGATCTAGATCTTGACTTATGTCATGTCATTTTCTATCAATCATTATTATGAGAGTTAGATTAAGATTCTAGAGGTCAGTTAGTCTTTAGATAATTAGCACCACCACACGCCCCGTGCCGGCAGTGTTTAAACACAGTAGACTCGCCCCAGCTAGGGGTAACCGGAGATTTATTATAATTTATGAATAGCATTGTTCTTTGCATCCACCCCATGCATCGTACATCAATATATGTGGGAGAAATTGAGGCATTCACTGAAGAAAATTTTTTTCTGATATCTTCAGCGACAGCCGAGATATTATCAAAGAAAGAGGATCGGTTGGTAGCCGAATGGCACCATGATTTTCCGACTCTCCGTATTTGGAAGGTACAGGACCATCGTAAATATTAATCAAACGTCCCCAAATTCGGCGACCAATGAGAAGAAAGATGGTTCTAGCCTCTGTGGATGCTTTAATCAAGCTAAAAACAAGAAAGTTACAAGGTGATTTCTTTGAGAAGATTGTTTTTGAAAATGTGTGGTCGATTAATCCGCGGAATGCTCCTGCATCAACTCAGACAGGCTGAACTTTATAATATGAGAAACTATCTCCTGAAATTATCCGTTAAAGAATTTAAAATCGCATTTTGAAAAAAATGACGTCGACGTTGTTCCTGTTTTTCACGTGGCCTGAAAGTCAAAAAGGGAAACTCTGCTGCACTCGGGAAACGCTTGCCGCGAGACATGTAAGCCTGCCGCGAGACATGTAAGCTTGCCGCCATCTCGCTGTGACGTCACGGCTGCGTTGAAGCATAGCTGCTGATTGGACAGTTATTTTGATCAGCCTGAATACCACGGAAAACACCATACTCGTAGACACAGATGTAATGAAGGTTTCTTTCTACTTGCCGAATTTTTAGGGAGATGAGTCTGCAGACAGCAAAAATACATCAGACCCATTTGGAGAGCCGCTGGCTGAAAGCACACCACAGAAAGGGGCTGCAAATGCTGCAAAGCAGGATGGAACCAGTTCTTCTGGTGGCAGCCAGACACCGGGCAGTGTTCGCAGTGGGGGTGGATCCAATGTCCCAGTTGGTCAACTTGTTGATGTACCCTTAGAAGGACCAGAAAATTCACACTATGAGGTTTGTCAATAGTCTTTTTTTTTTCGCATGCCCAATGCTTTCTTTGTTTTATACCTCTTAACGTGTTTGTTCTTATGAGGGCTATTGCCTTTCATGCCTGCTCCTTATGAAATTTATTTGTTATTGTGCTGACTAGCTGTACAGTAAACTACTTCTCAACAAGTCTATTGGTGAAACAAGTCTTTTGGTGCTGTGCCAATATATATATATAGATATGAATATATATATATATATATATATATGAAATCATATATCACAACATACTATTCCTCTTTAACTTTCAGTGAGTCACGAAGGCGGTCAGTCATGCTCCATATGATGATGACCTTTAATATAAAGCTCTGTTTTAAACAAGATAAGGCAGTGGTTGGATCTGTTTTTCATGTTTGACTTGTTTGTTTTATCTTGAGGATGGTTGGAGGTTGCAGTTGGCAGATAATACATTTTACCTATTCAGCTCTATTCTAGTTCTGCAGTCTTGCTTCCCAGCCCCCAAGTGTGAAATAATTGTCGTTTTGTAGGTGAATCTGACAAACAAAATGATAGAAACTTGCTGTTTTCCTCAGCACTGAATAATCATTGTTGTTCTGTTTGTGTGCATGTGGCTGTCTCAAACTTTCAAACAAATGCCTCTTTGATATTTGCTGATCCCACAGACTGCCTCAGAGCTGAGTTCTGTGCGAGGGGATGAGACTCCCAGAGGAGGTCGTTCCAGGACGTCCTCCATCAGCTCCATGACCAGTATGACGAGTGACAGCTCCTTCTTCCCTAGCGTTAGCTTCTCCTCCCACAACTACTATGTCCCTTCGGATGTGGAGAGTGAGATGGAGGACTCATCAGTCAACTTGTCTGCCATCTCAAAGGAGGATCTCTATGCATTTGTCAAGAGGTTTGAGAGGAGAGCCTTCAAGTACAAGTCAAAGTTTATGGAGGTATGAACTTTCATACTGAATTCAGAAAATTGACAAATATAGGATTTTTAGAATCCTGTAGATTATCAGGTTTAGAGGCATTTCATAGGCATTTCTTTCACCCTCTTCTAATCCGGTGTTTATATTTGGTATCACTTTTGCATTCGATATGTGGAGAGTATTCTCTTGTTAGTCCCTGTTTACTGGATACAAACTAAAGTTCGATGTGAAAAGAAATCTTTTATTTTTTCATCCTATTAAGTCTTTGTAGAGAGGAGGATGATAATAGCAGCACAGCTGTCACAGGTGCCTCTATAATATAATATTAATGTTATGTGAGCAGATTGTTTGATGCTGGTGATCATTTTTTGACATTTTTTTCTTTCTTTTTCTTTTTCTTTCTTTCTCTATTTTTTTGTCTATAGCTCGGGGCTGCATATAAAGACATGATCCAAGAAAGAGAAAAGTTGAAGGTGAGTTTGGACTCTACCCATTGGCAACTGGGACTGTACTGGTCCTTCTGATGGGAGTTTTTGCTTGACATTAAGAAGTAAATTATTGATATTATATTTGATATTTTATTTTATTTCATTTCATTTTATTTTGTTTTATTGATGAAAAAGTCTCTTATTATAAAATTTTGTTCACAAATATTTCTACTTGATTTGCTTTTGTGAATACCATTCCCTGTCCAATGATCTGTGATGTATTTACAGGTGTGTTGAAGTATTTTATTTTTATTTTTGGAAGTCCATGATCTTGCTAGAGACCTGTAAGAGGAAAGTCTTTTTTTTAAAGTGTTCTGAAATCAAGTAATTCTCCAAGCATTCATAAGGAAATCGTAGCCTTTAAGAACGTAAATTATGTCTTATTTACTGTTCATAGTGAGCTGCACACATAAACATTTTCTCACTCTCTTACGCCCTACACATTTATTTTTTTTTTGTAAGTGTTTTACGGCGCTCGCAACTGCATAAGGTCATATGGGCTTGGGGAGACACCAAACATTTTCAATTGGTAGGAAATTTTGGATTTTGCTCGGGTGGCGGTTGAAGCGTACTCTTATTGATTTTGGACCACCAAGGGATCTTTAACGTGTGCAACTTGCTCATGGGAACTCCGAGATTTTTAGCCTTTGTCTGAGAAGGCTAGGTGTAGATCTTTCCTAACAGAAGATCAGGAGTGTTGCTGAAAGACAGCAGTATGAACGAGTCAAGGAGAAGCAGTAGAAAGGCTGCAGAAAGAGTCGGGAGCCCAGTGAAGGGGGCTAAGGATGTGAGGGGGTGGGGGAAGAAAGTGGAGACGAAAGCAGACAACAGAATATTGCAAGAGAGAAGGAAAAAAGGTGAAAGGAGACAATTTTAGAATCGACCCGGATTTGAACCTGGGACCTTTGAATGAGAGGTGAACACCTTAACCTCTAGGCCACGAGAGCCCCCACCTACACACTGTCATTTTTTCTGGGGGGTTTTTCAGGCTACCATGGCCCAGTGTCAGGACCGAGCCTTCCGTCGGATGTCTGAGCTGCGTGAACAGATTCAGTTGGACCAGCTTGCTAAACGAGATCTGGAGGAGAATTATCGTCTTTTGCTGGATGAGAAGGATGAGTATGTCAAGGTGCTCAATACCCAGGTAAGCCACTCCTATTTTTTCTTGGACAACACTTGAGGGAAATGATTGACTTTTGAGAATCATTTTTGTAGCTTCTCTCAGTTGTTTCTCACCATATTATTGTGTCCAACAAATAAAGGGTAGGTAGAAAGTCACTTTGATTTCTTAAAACTCCTTTCTTTGCAAATTAAAAGGTACAGATTTTACTTTTCATATATATTGTTTTGATCTGTGTGAATTTCAACCCAATAATAAATGAATATATAATCTCACAAAAATCTTGCTTCACCTGAAAGTGGGATTAATGTCCAAAATGATACTTGTGAAGATTTCGTTATCACTGCAAAGCTGTTGATTATCTTACAAATAGGATAAGACTTGTATGTTTGAATGAGGGCTAAAATATTCCCCATTGCATATGATAGCTGATGGAGATAAAGTTATGAGAAAATAATGTTTGAAATGTCAAATGTGTGCCGTTTTAGATTGGAAATATTTTTAGCTTTATTTTAAATGACATAAGGCATTTCGCTACATCAGAATTACAAAGTTTTATCTGCACAGTACGAAGTTTTGAGAAACTTGACGTCAAAGATTTTTAGTTTCATATCATCTCAAGATTTTTCAAATGCAGTTCTTTAGATGTCTTGATAATGACTCCGAATAATCTTATGATTTTGATAGAGTAGCTAGAACATTTAGTTACAGGCCTCATGGTCTCAGTAACTCAAAACAGCCCAAAATGTCAGATAGAACTTTGTAGTTCTGAGGTAGCGATTGCCGCATTCCCTTGTTTGTTGTTTCTTTCAATAGAGCTCATTGAGCACCTTTCAGTGTTACGTAACTTATCTACTGTTGATCTTCCTAGTGCATTTCCTGGAGTATGGTAGCTTTCATATCATGTAGCTTTTGAAATTCTGTCTTTTTTAAATACTAGGTAGGTAAGATGGAGGTACTTCCCTTTTTCTTTTTAGAATATTCTTAGAGTGGTTACCCCCAAGAAATAAAGAGGTTTAAATGTATGTTTTCTTCTGTGTCTTTAGAATAAATGGGAATAGCTGCATGAAGGAAATATGTTAATTACCCCTATGTAGGCAGACACTTTTGACACATCCTGTGTAGGATGCCCTACCAGTCATTACCAATTAGCATCTAATAAAGGGCACATTGAAGCTCAGCTGTTTCCTCGACAAGCTGTAGCTCTCCCACAATTTTAAGCTCATTGTTTACTGCCAACATTTTACCTTTGGGAAATACTACATGACGTCATTGTATTTGCCATGCACTTGAAAAGTTGTAGCTAACTCACTGTCATTGTCATCGGGACAAATGAGTAACAGGTGGGATGGCACTGAGTAAGTGATGACAAACTGACTGTGAATCAAACAGCTTCACCGCACAGACAATTTACAAAAGCACTGTATTGTTTCAAGGACTAAACTCATTGTTAAATTTTGAGTACTCCAGTGACTCATAAGGAAGGATGAACACATTCATAATGAAAAAGATTGAATTATGCCACTGATAACAGTCTGGTTTTTGACCAGTTTATCAGTTTATCTTTGGTGATCGGTCGTTTTGTTTTTGAGTATTAATTAATTTTAGGGTTTGGCACAGTTATATAAATGTTGTTTACAATTCTTTTTTTCCTTCATGATCAGTGGTTTCAATCATGTCCTCCTCTGAATGTATAGGTTTTTAAGGCTCTCTCTCTGGGTCTTATTGAATTTTATAATCCAGGTTCTGAAGTAATTCACATCATATCTCGAATGATGTTATTGTTAAAATAGTGTACAATTATAAATAACGTGAGCTCCACTCTGGAGGATATAACCTTAAATTCAGTTGTTTGTTGCTTAATGGTTTTCTCACAGCAACAAATTTCTTAAAAAATAAATTTAGAATGGGTTGCTGTTCCCCTCATTATTTTATAACTGGCATCTCATTCTGGTTTGCTGCATTATGTGTAGGAGGGTTACTGCTTGTGGCAGAATCAGCTGTTATGAAATACCATCTGTGTATGTATTGCTGCTTAGTAATAATTTGGGACTATTATTAATTCCATGACATTTTTACACAATATTCAACATTCTTTGTGTAATATGAATTTCTTTGTAGTAATGTTTGTGCATTTTTTGTATGTGTGTTTAAATGATCAAGATATCTTAATGTTTTAATTAATCTTATTTATTGTGCAAAGGTTAAACTGCTCCGTGAAGGCAAGGACATTCCTGAAGAGCTCCAGGAAAAGCTGTCCAGCAAACAGGCCAAAGCTGAGGCAGCTCCTCCACCCACCCCGGCCAGTGGTGCAGACATCAGCCCAGCTCAAGAGATAGAACTGCTCAAGTCAAAAGTAAGTGGCCTGTCAGATATTTTGTTTGGGTAGTTTGAAAGTTGTGGGCTCATGGTTTCTGAAGATACATAGACAGTTAAAACATGTTCATATTCTTAATTGTTTTTCTGTAGGAATGATTTATAGGGATTTATTAATATTAGAGTTTTATCAGTACTAAAGCAGAATCTTAAATGTTATTTTATATGTTGATTTGCAGATATGAGTAGACTGTTTGATTGTATAAAGACAAAAGTAGAAGCCCCTCACCCTGCAGGTTTTCGTATGTTTTATATCATACAATTAAAACTCGTCATGAATGAATTTTCTATATGACATCAAGCTGCTTTCAAGTCAGCATTACAATCTTAAAGAAGAAGTTGTGGGTACAGTAAATTATATTTTTATGACAGCTCAAACTACTGGTCTATTTCTCAACTGGCAAATGAAATACTTGATTTCAGATCAAACGGCAGGATGGATTGTTGCACAAATGCAAAGAGTCGATCAGTAGTTACAAGGAAAAAGTCTCGCTACTGTCACGTGACAAGCAGGACCTCATCACTAAATTGGAGGCCTCTTCAAAAGTATGTTTTATTGCTGTGCAAAGGTTACATTCTTCTAATGAGTATCTGTTTCTGTCCATATAGTATGATGATTGGGATGTACTGCTCAATGATTGTTTTCGTGTATGTGTATATCAAACGTGTTTGGGCAAGTATTTTTATTTGTTTGAATGTTGTATGTTTCTTCAGATGTGTTTGCACTTGAGTTCTTGAAGAAGAGAATGTCAGTCACTATTACTATTTGAAAGAGAAAGTTTTATCTGTGTAGATATCATCATAGCAACACAGTTTTGATAATGGTCATATTTGCTGTCATGAGACAGAAAGTCAGTACATGTTTTTGTTATTTGAAGTTCTTTTGCGTCCATTTGATTTGATTTTACAAATATTAATTCAATGCCTGAATTTATTTATTTTTGTGTCCAGTAACTCTCTTTTAGCCAGTGGTTGGCGGGTGCTTTGGTGTGGTTTGCTCTTTCTTTCCCATCAAACATCTATTGTCCTTATCTTTCCTCCTTCTGTTTTGTGTTTACTACTCTCTTGTAACACCTCTTATCTTCAGCACATATATGGCCTAATTGTGTTGCAAGTGCTATAAAATGCTTACTAAAACAAAATGCTCTTGCACTTTTTCATAACAGGGTGGGCAGTCTGAAGCATCTGGTGCTTCGAGCCAGGAACTGGTCAAGCTTCAAAATCAGATGAAAGAGGCTCGAAAGGTCATCGAACAACTGGAGACTGATAGAGAGGTGGCAATTGCTGGAGTGAAGCAACAGGTTGGGTTCTGAGGCAATATCTATATCACAAATATTGTTTGACACATCTGTATCCAAATGGAGGGAATTAAGGCACTTACAGTGGTTGAATGATGCCTTTCAGAGTTCTTACTTTATTTTATTTTGGTCCTTTTTATCGGTTGTTTTCTTTTTTCAAGAACTACTTCCTTAGTAGCACTATCTGTTTGAGTTGAAGAAAAACTCTATTTCAAAATCATGTGGCAGAATTGTTTTGTGGTCTTGTTTTGCAGTACAGCATTGCGTTTTATTTGTGTTGCATGTGAAAACTGAAGCTGCTGCTCCGGACTTCAAGAGAACTGCAGCAACGAGTGCCCTTTTCGTAGAGGTCTTTGTATTTGTTAAACGCTATTTCACTTTTTCTGTCAGTTGTCATACTCTATTCCTTGATGGATATTGTCTGGACTATGATATTAGTTTTGTTCTCAATAGTTTACTGTACGGCTGGCTCGGGTCAGTAGTTAAATCTTAAAGTGTTAAAATGTTAAAAGATCAGTGTAAATATATATATATTTTCAATCTAAAATAATTTTTCTAGTTAACATAAAAATTTTAAATAGTACAATTTCACTTTATAATTTGCCATAAAGGCCAATGGCCCTCATATGACCGTATGCAGTTGCAAGCGCCGTAAAACCTCTACTAAAAACTGAAAGTTGTTCCTAGTGTGGTTGAACTGGTTTTCTTATTAATATGAAATGTTTTTTCTTGTTTGTGATGTTTTACACTCATCAATCATTATTATTATTATAATTATTATTATAATTATTATTAGTATTAGTATCATTATTATCATTATTGATATTATAACTTGATATCAGCTTTAACAATATGCAATGCAGAATAAAGTTTTGTTTCTGTTTACAGGTTCATGAAGAAATGGAGAAAAAAGACTTGGAGTTGGCGCAGGTGAAGTCTGATAGTCACAAGCTACTGGAGGAGAGCACCAACATCAAACTGGAACTGGAGAAACTATCCAAGGAAAGAGACGAACTGATAGAGACAAGTAAGTACTTTTCAAGATTGGAAGTTGGTATATAATTTATGTGAAATAATAATGATAATAGTTTTAACAGGAAGAATAGGGATAATCCTTTCCTATTATACTATGTCACTGAGAGAGGACTCAATGCTCCTTAGATTAAAGTGTTGGTGTATAGTAATGTGTCCAATTCTGTCAAAGGCACTGATTTCCTTGGTCTGAATTTTATTTGAACAGATAAGGAGCAGCTAGAGAAGGCACGGGAGATAATGCGCAAGTTAAAGGAGGACAAACGTTTGGCAATGGAACAGGCCGATGAGAAAATCCGCCTTGCTGAGGCTAGTATGGAGGAGGAGAAGGAGAAGATGCTGACTGATCTGAAGAGAGGCAAAGCTGAAGCTTTCTCTGTGATGCAGGTACGTTAGAGTACTCAGGCTTTGGAACCTTCAGCTGCTCCTGCTTCATGACAGTGTTGCAGTTGGTATTGAAGTGGTTTGAAAATGGATAGTACCGATACTTATTGACTTGTTGCCCACCGGCTTCATACAGTAAGTTTGAGGCATATATTGTTTTTCTTTTTAGTGTTTGTGTTTTGTGGTCAAATTTGGTATTTTGCGGGTGCACATGTATTTGAAAAGATTGTTGTACAATGAATTGGCTGGTATGCAGGAAACATGTCATTGTGTAAGCTGTCGAAATTTCATTTTATTGTTAACTCCTAGAGCCACAAGGAAGTGGATGCTATCATTATCATTGTTATTATTAATATCATCATCATCATCATCATTATCATCATTATTATTATTATTATTATTATTATTACTTACTTTACTTTTACTTTTTCATCCTCTGTTGCCGTTAAGCGTCGAGGGGAGATGCAGTTTTCTATGGTAGGCCAGCTCCGCAGCTCTTTCAGTTGTGTTGTTATGTTTTCTTAGGGCTTCCTTGACACCCTCGATCCACCTTTTGCGTGGCATTCCTCTTCCTTTATAGCCTGAGTGCTTGGTGTTGTAGGTTCTCAAGGTTGGCTGGTCAGGTGACATGCGTAACAGGTGGCCAAACCATTTTATCCTCTGTCTTTCTATGTAACGCAGGCAGGACTCAGTGCCGATAGCTGCTCTTACTTCTTCATTTCTCTGCCTGTCTCGTCTTGTGATGTTAAGGGTTTTGCGGAGACATTTCATTTCGCATGCAGTGATTTTGCTTTCATGGGTTTTGCTTAAGGTCCAGGTCTGGCACTGATAACATAATGTTGGTATGAATATAGAGGTGATAAACTGTCTCTTTGTGTCCATGGAGATGTTTGGATGAGATAGAAGGGGTGCGAGCTGGTAGGTGACAGCGTTGGCTTTTTGAGTTCGCATTTCTATTTCTCTGTCTATGGACCCGTTTTCAGAAAAAGTGCTGCCAAGATATTTAAACTCCTTCACCTGTTTCAGTTGTTTACTATTGACATGGATGTTCAGGGGACTATGGTTTCGGCTCACTTTCATAACTTCTGTTTTTGATGTGCTTGTTTTCATGTTGAATTTCTCACAGGTGTTGTTGAGTTCGGTAGTGTGATTTTGGAGGCTTTGTTGGTCATGATGAATTAGACATTGGTCGTCTGCGAACAGAAATTCATTTAGGCTTTCTATTATTATTATTATTATTATTATTATTATTATTATATTGTTGTTGTTGCTTGCATGGTGTGGCTGGTTTGTGTTAGTAGCATACCGATCTAGTGGAATGTATATGAGGCTCTCATACAACAACTGACTGTACTCATGCATTTAAAATTCTTTTTCCCCAAGCATCCAGTAGACACAGAAATATAGTACACTCTGAGGAATGACTTATTCCCAGTCAGTTTGACATCTTACTGAAAAGAGCTGAGCCTATTTTTGTCAGTTTGTATTCCTTTTTCTGTAAGTTTAGCACTCAGGTAGATATAGAATACTTTTCTATTCATGAAGTTTGATTCCCAGTTCTGGTATTAAAAGTAATTTGTTAAATATTCTATTTTTTATGTTGAAAATATGAAGTTTTGATCAATTGTTTTCACAGCAAGAATCTGAGAAACTTTTAACTGAGAAAGTTGCAGAGGCAGTTGAGGAGCGGGACAAGATGTGGAATGTAAAAATGGCAGCACAAGAGGAGGCCAATAATGAAATGCTACAGGCCAAGGTGAGTAAGTTTGAAGAGAAAAAATTCAACCCATAATCCAATGTTGATGAAGGAAAATTTAGCATGACGGCACTCTGGCCTCACAAGGATAGGAAAGTGTCAGTGATGGTATTTTCTTCTTTTGAAGCTGATGTGCCTGCTATGTGATGCATGTATGGAGTAACTCGTCTGCTTCATTCATATTTCCCATGGTTCCCCCACCCTTGAAGAAAAGGGAAAAATTGCTCATGACGTACTGTGGGTTCCTCCAGTCTTGTTGGTTAGTTTTTCAGCAGATTGTATTGAAATGAAAAATCTAATGTTTTGTCTGAGGATTTGGGGGGGGTGGAGGGGGGGGGGTTCTGCTTACTAAAATGCAAAGTGGTCATATAACGTAAAGTAAAATGTTTTTTCTTATTTGTTCCTGGGGAAAAATGAACATCGAATTATTTTTTTCTGTGTTAGGTCATTGGTAGAATTGGGTGTTACAAACTGAGACATACACTGTTATCATATATATAGAGTTTTCAAAAACTTGTTTTTGAAAATATTTACTCTTAAAAGGATCGAGAAAAAGAAATGGCATTGGCAACAATGCACGAAGAGGTACGCCTGAAGCTACGTGAGAAAGAAGAGGAAGTCAAGCTAGTTGTGGAGGAAAGAGAGCTACAGAAGATGGCAGCCGTGTCGGGTCTAGATGAGCAGAAGGATATGCTGCAGAGGCAGATTGAGGCTCTGACCTCGGTGAGCTCCGCTGGGGCACAGAGCATGTAGCATGTACTATGGGGCCAGAGACAAGGGGTTGGAATTATAAATCGTACTTGTGGTCAATGGTTTCAATTTTCCATAAATCTCTTTTGTTGAAGTTTGATTTGTTCTGTGATATCATTGGTTATTAAAATCCCTTCGGCAGCTTCTTTTATCTGCTGGATTTTGATGTCAAATGAAGTCATAATAAGGCTTTTTAATTGAATAGATTGCGTTTTATGCATAGCTAACAACAATACATAGTACAGAGGTTACGTGTGCTTTTAATTGTTAAGTCATCTTTGACTACACTGGTGTCTGAGGTGTGGTGGTTCGGCACTACGCTGTTGTACCCAAGAAACCCGAGTTAGAATCCTAGGTGGGGAGAATTTTTATCAAGTATCTCGTTCTTTCTGCTGGGATGTTGTATCCTTCTCAGCTCGGGTTGGCTTTGACAGACAGGGTTTAAGGCTCTCCTCCTAAATGATCTAAACTGTGTTGACAGGGGCTTAAAACCACTTACATTGACTTTGACTACAATGTACGATTTATGGTTATGGCTCATGGACTGCACTATACTGTTCCTTTGCAGGCTTCAATGTAGTTTCAGTTTGACCGTTGTTGTTTTAGTATCTCTAACGAAAATAACGGTTGCTTTCACCTGTGCTTTGATTGATAGTGCAGTGCTTCATACGTCTGCTATTTCTGATTTTCATCTTTCATGAGTTTTTGACCTATAGCTTGAAAAGTGACTGTGGTGACTTGGAGTGGTACATATTAATAATAACCTATGCTTATTTCTGCTTAATTTGAGGGACCTGTGTGTTCAGAAAACAGAAAGTTTTCACATGCATGTTGTATAATCAAGTAGCATGAAATTGTAAGACTGGTGACTTCAACATTTTTAGACTGTCTCTAAATGATGGTGCAGGATCATCCTGCACTGAGCGTTGGACAAAAACACGGGAAGAAATTTTAGTCTTTGGAGGTGGGAAAACTATCTTTATTAAACACATCTCACAAAAATATAATCTTTTAGAGTGCGTAAAAAAAAAATCTGAATTTGTGCATGGGTGTTAAATGCTTCCTGACCATCATTTATATTCGGATGTGGGTTAGTAGGTGTGATTCATGCTCCAATTTCTTTCTGGTCCTTCTGCTATTTTTGTCCATGTCTGCGCAAGATGACCACTGATGTGTCAATGTGCTTGTGTTTTATTGAAATAAGAAAACAGATTGAATTTATGTCCTCTGTTTCTATAAGCAGTACTTCATGAAGTTGTTGTTTTATTTTTGCAAGAATGCTCAGTATATATACTTATATCACCCAACATTTTGTAGCTGCAACTGCTGTATCATACTTGATAGTTGCTTTGTATATGTGGATGGGGGGTAATGGGAGTGTTTACTGATTTGTTAAATTTGCACTTCCTTTATTTTACACTAAAAAAAGAGTACTCTTTGACACCTGACCAAATGGCTTTGCTGTGCTTTGTTTATATTAAATGTGTATGGTTTTGTACTGGTTTGTTGTGTTCACAGACTTGTTTGCACATCGTATTTTATATACGTATTGAATTATCTTCTCTAAATGTGGGTGGTTGGCACATGCTCTGGTGTGGTTTGCTTCTTCTGTCCTATCAAACATCTATCATCCTTTTCTCCCCTCCTTCTTTTTTGTGTTTGCTACTCTCTTGTAACACCTCTGATCTTCGGCACTTATATGACCCTATTGTATTGCAAGTGCCATAAAACACTTACTAAAACTAAACTAAACTTCTCTAAATGGGAGCCTTCAACTATTCTTATTTTGAGGAAGAAATCTTTCGTTTTAGACAATGCATTTCAAAATCTAAAATGTCTTCTATAACTTAAGTTACTGCAGTTGTTAAACATATCGAAAGCTTATTACAAAAATTTTAGTGCACAAAAAACAGTTACCTGAGTTTAGTTTGTAAGTAATTAGGTTCATACTTTATGTAGTCAATTATGTAGCATTTCCCAGCTAGATGGTTTTAATAATTTGTGCCTTTTTAGTATTCCAAGCAGTGAAGAAATATGTATTGCTGTGATTAAGCATAATTACAATTGTACTGCAATGCTATATTAAATACGGAAAATTTTCCTTCAAAACTGTAAATATATATATTTTGAACCTTTTTTTCCTAGGAGAAAATTGAGCTGAACAACCATCTATCTAAGTCAGAGGAGGATGCTGAGGTACAAAAGGCAGATTTGATGGAACAAATCAAACAGAGCCAAGAGCAACATGCTAAGGAGATAGCTGCCCTTCAAGAAAAACTACAGGAAGAAAGTGCCTCAGTGAAACTAGCTCAGGAGGACAAAGAGTTGCAGGAACGGAAACATCAAGAAGAGATTCAGGCTTTGAAAGAGCAGCAAGAGAAAGCCTTGAAGGTGTAACAATTGACTTGTTGTTGAGTTATATCTGTACTCTTAATGCATCTGTGTTTTAAACATGTATGTTGTTATCCATGGGTTTAACTCTTTCTGGGCATAGTTTTTTGGGGGTCTAGACATAATTAACTTGTGGCTCGATTTGGCTATGCAGGTGGTGTACAAAATAACTTCATAGAAGCATAACCATCACTCAAAACGTAACATATGAAATATCAAATTGAAGGAATTTGAATGAGGAATACATCCCAATATGAAACAAGGGTTAATTTTGAATATTAGTATGCATTACAAGGGTTAGGAATGGTGATGAGAAAAATAAATTTTGACGGAAGAAATTACATTCACCAAACATGTGAAAGCAAATCAGCATAGCTATCTTATCATATACAGGCCAAGAGCATAATCCATACATTTCTGAATGCGCAGCTTTTTGTTTGAAAGTAATATTCCAATTTTTGTTTAAGTTATGGTATTTATACTGAGTCCGGTTGCATCGTTTTGTTGATGCAAGACCGCAAGAACTAATTCACTCGTTTTTCCCCCAACCCACGCTTTGACAAAGTGAAACTAGATGTTTTCATTTCCTAAGTCCTTTCAGAGTTTTTCAATAATACAGTAATTATATATGACGGATTGTGTTAAAACGAAACAATACTGAGGCACCTTATCACAGCTGATATATCGGCGATACGTCTGGAAAGAGTTAAAGTGCCATTCTTATGAGGTCTCATGTGTTGATATTTTCATGCAATTGTGTTAAAAGGCTTTTGTGATTTTGTTGGACAACATCATAAAGGACATAGATAAACATATTTTTATTTCATATCAAATTAATGCTGATTAGACCTGTTCAATTATTCAAATCTGTATAATTGGATATTATAAAGGTAATTGACTTGACTGTATAGGTCATCAAAACTCTTATCCACTTTCAGATTAACTTCCCCTGAGTTAAATTGTAAATTACATTTTCTCTCCAGTATCCTACTCTCACAAGGGGTTAGAGAGGCAAGAGGGGAAGTGAGAGGGATGGGGGAGCATTAGTGAGCAGGCATGCTGGCGAAGAGAGGAGCCGTAGCTGAGATGTGACATTGGGACCAGGCCAGCTTTTTCTATGAAAATGTGGACTTATCTGAACTACTGAGTTTGAAACCAGCCCTCACATAGGGATGGAAATTATTTGGTCAAGGCTTGGACTACCTCTCTGATACAAATAATTTAAATTGCGTAGTAAATGAATTGATTAAAAATTGCCAGTCCTTGAAAATTAATTCTCGACAGGCTTGTAAGTTGATACATTTTACTTTATCCAGGTCATCAGTGCAGAGCAAGATGCTGAGCAGAATTCTAGACATGAATCTTTGCAAGCCGAACTGGAGCAACAGATTGCAAGAACTGAGAGTTCCCTGAGCCAGTGCCGGATTTCATTACAAGAATCTGAACAGCGAGTAGCGGCACTTCAAACTGAACTTGCTGAAAAGTCTCGTGAACATGAAGCACAGCTTGAGGTAGGGTTATCTACTTGTCTCAAGATGGTCGCAGTTGTGGGTAAGAGGTTGACATTCTGTCAATTATGCTGGTGGCACATGTTATGCACGCATGGTTTGTCCATATTGCACAAATTTGTATTGCCCTTAGATAGCAATGCCAATGAAAATTTAAGTCTTTGCTTTAGCCCTTTTTTATTTGGTACCTCAGAAAGAGTTTTCAATCCGAAGAATGATGCTTTTTGAATTTTAAGAATAGGTTCATAAATAAAAAAGTTATGGGGTTGTAAAGGTCGGCAAAATATGGATGACCCACATATAGGAAAATACTTCTGAAAGTGGACCACGCAATAGCAGATTCTGTAAGAAAATCGACGATATCTCAGTAATTAATTGAAATGTTAGAAAGAAACTGGGCTACCCAATGTGTTTTTGGATTGAGAAATTATTTGTGCAGTCAGATTTACTAACCATTTTGTAGTTATTTTGTTATAAATTGAAATTTTGGTGTACTTATTAGGATTTTTCAAAAAAGGGTGTCGGGATGAGAGCATTTTATTTATAGCATCGTATCGCAACACGGGATCTTTAAGAATATGTTGGCAGCATGACTTGGCAAAGCTTTCTTTGATGACTTTAGACCATGTTAACCATGCTTTGATAAGCAAATGCCTCTGTGAGTCACATAACTTCATGTAAGAGACTTCAGTGCCAATCACTCATTGTAGAGGTTTTGGTTCTACTTGGATTATGTCCGAGTGGGGACACTTCTGCCCATGCCTGGTACTAGTACTTTCCAAGGGGTGGAGGGTTAAGTCAAGAGGTTCCACTTTGGGTTTTTTTTAGTTATTGATTTATGAAAGTTGAGCATCTCTAGACATGAATAGTTCTTTTAAATCAGTGCCAGTTATGGGATCCAGTGGTTCAGAATGTTTGGGAAACCATACTTTGCAGTATCCAGAAGTTGGAAAATAATATTAATTACTGTAGAGCGATTGTTCCATGGGTACCTTACTGCAATGCTGAATGCAGTATATTATTTGAGTGTAATTAAATATATTGCCTCAAGTCTTAAGTTTTATTTTTTTCAAATATCATAGAATGGGCAGGATATGTGACTCTTGCTCAAATGAACAAATTGCAAGTTTTGTGCTCTGAAGAAATTGCAAAATGGTGATTGAGAGTACAAGCAACTTGTTAATATAAATGTGCACTTTTAAAGATATGCTTGCCAGTCCCGCATGCTTTGTCTTTGACATGGTGGAGACTTGACTTGTGCTGTGAGTGATAGATTTCTAGGGACTTGATCTGCAATATTGATCTCACTGAAGTTATACGATAATTTCAGTTGGGCTCTATAATGTGCTTATTTTTATTTAGTTGCATGATCCCTGAACCCTTACAGCACTGGGATATTTTTAGCTCTCACTACCCTCTGACTCAAGTAATACTGGAGCCCTTGACTCCTCAGGCCCTGCCAAAGTTGACAGGTTCTTCTTTTGGCTGTCTGGTTCATTCTCAGCATGTCACACTGGCCCTTTGTACACACATTATTTATCTTTCCCAGAACTTGAATGCAGAGAAAGTAACATAACAATCTTATGGCGAGCATGCTATGCTATCCCCCTGTTGTCTTCATGTGTGGGTACTTGTGCGAAATAGGCATAAACAACCTGTCTAAAGCTCACAGTGGGTTAAGTGTTATTAATATCAGAATGCAGAAACTGTAACTTGTGACAGATATTTGAAGCAAAGAAAGGAATTATTGTTGACTCAAGTCGTAAAAAAATCTATGCAGACTGACGTATGATTTGCTTATGCAAATTTAGGAATGCAGAGTTTTGATACGAGAAAGCTGCACTGAAATTTAGTTTTTCAACTGTATTTGTAACTGGATGTATTACTTTTTGGGAATATGTTTTTTATGCTAGCTATTTTATCAGATGTTTCTAATATTTTTTCGGGAAGTTGATGATTGAAAAAAATTAAATTTATGTAATGGAGAAAACGTAAAACGTTCCCTTGTATTGCCATTCTATTTTTCGGACAAAATACTACCAATGTGCTCACCTGTCCATTTGTGTCATCGTCTCATTTTGTCCCCTTTCTCATTGCCATTGTTCAGGAGTTATATGCTGCTGTGAATGGTAAAGGCGAGGAGAATGACAGATTGGCCAAAGAGCTGGAGGAGCTACGGAAACAAACAGAATGCAAAGAGAAAGAGCTAGAAGATGTCTCAGTTAAACTGATTTCTACCTCACAAGAAAGTGAGCAGCTGAAAATACAGGTGAAGACTTAAATTCTTTGTTGTAGAAATAGTATAGCTGTACATGTTTTGCTCTCACGCATGTACTGATGGTTGTGTTGAAATAACAAGGAATAATTATCTGTAACATCTCTACTGACATGAAATTATGTCGTTCTGATAGTTCATGATTTGGTCTAAGTGCAGCAGGCTTGTTAATGCCTCTGGTTTCCTTTCAAGTCAAAAGTGCCAGGATTTTGGCAGGTTCATGTTGGTATGGTCATTGAATAGCTTGTGTTGTTTTTGTTTTTTTGTTACATTTTTCTCTCTTTTGGTACCCATGGTTAGTTTTGTCAAGTACCGAGGCTTCTTGGGAAACCTTCTTGGGAAAGGATGCAACACTGAGATGATAGTTTCACAGTTTAAAGAAACTTTGGCCGTGAAAAGTTCAAATGAGAGTAGGCCTGCCCATGTTGGCTGCCTGACAATATCCAAAACAGAACTTCTTTAAGCTTTAAACTTAACCCCCCCCCCCCCCCCCCCCAAAAAAAAAAATCAACACTGGTTAGTTTAAATTTTAATAAGACAAAGGCCAGAGACTGTGCTTTTGCAAGAAGTATGACGTTGCATGTTAGTCGGTGGAACTGGGGTTGTAGAACTTGCACTCAACTTGCTCTGAAACCTGATCTGAAAGCTTGAGAATGTGGAAGAAAACGAAGCTGGAGGTGCAGTATCAACCATTTCACAATGATGTGTGTTCACAGCAATAAGTTTGAGTCTCAAAAGTTCAAGAGGTTGGAGGGCAGCTTTTACGAGTCCTATTTTCTTATAGTCCATTTGCCGAGTGGAATTTTTATAGCAACTTGCTAGTTAATGCTGTGCTATCAAAGGACAGTGCCCCTGGATGGTCCTACATTTTTCATTTTGTTAAGTATTTCTGTATGTCGTGTTCTGTTTTAGGGATGAAATGAAAGTTCCCGTACCCATATATGTTTTTTCACTGACAAAACTACTATTTTATATTTCTTTTATTCTTGTTTCCAGATTGAGTCAAAGCAAGGAGAAGCACAAAGTCAACTCGGAGAAAAAGAAGAGCTTGTAGCAAAACTGGAAGCCATGAACGTCAGGGAAACCAAACTCCAGCAGCGACTTGACAGCTCTGAACATGAACGAAGTGACATGGAGGGACGGGTCAACATTCTGGCGGAGGAACTGAACTCTTTGAGAGAAGAGTTGAATGTTGCCGCCACAGAGCTGAGGACTTCCCGGGAGGAGGGACGTCGCCGTGAGGAAGAACTACAGCAACAGCTCTCTCAGGCTGAATCTGACAAGTCTAGGATAAGCAATGAAGTGGCTGGTGAGAAAGCTGAGAAGCTTGAACTTCTCATGGGTGAAATTGAGACTCTGAAAGCAGAAGTGGCGTCTGAGAGAGAATTGCATGAACAGCTGAAGTCGGTCAGTGACAGTGTTTCTCATGAGAGGGATGAGTTGAAAGCCCAGTGTGTGACTTACGAGGGCAAAGTAACGGAGCTACAGGAGGTGGTGCGCAGTCTTGAGGCATGTCAGAGTGCTGTGCAGACAGAGAAGGAAGGTCTAGAGGAGAAGCTTGGCAGTTTGGAAGAGATTGTTGCTGGGCTGAAGAAGTCGAAAGAAGAGCTCGGAGAACAGCTACACGGAAGACACGAGGAACTGGTCCAGCAGGCAGCCACGGAGAAAACAGCTCTTGAGACGAGGGCGAGTGAACTGGCCACACAGGTGAGCAGTCACCAGGAGGAGGTTGACAGGCTCAATAGAGAACTCATTTCTAAAGATGATGAGATCATGGCGATGCGCTCCGTCATGGAAGACAACTCAGAGTATGTCAAGACTGTTGAGGGCAAACAGGAGGAACTAAATGCTCAGTTACGGGGTAAGACTGAAGCAATGGAGGAGGTGGAGGCAAAATTGAGTAAAAGTTTAGAGAAATTTGAGAAACTCAAGGGTGAAGCCAATGTAAAGATTAAAGGTTTGAAGGATATTAAAGATTCTCTCACTGAGCAGTTGGAGCAAAAGCAAAAAGATTTGGAAGAGCAAGCAGCTGCAAATGCTAGTGAAAAAGACAATTTGATTCAGACTTACGAGGAAAAACTGACTGCAAAGCAGCAAGAAATATCGTCCCTGGAATGCACTTTTAAGGAACAGTTTGAAGAAAAGCAAGCTAAATTTAAGGATACTTTGACAAAACTAAGAGATAGACATGAAGAGAAATTACGTGAGAAAGATGAGCAGTTTGAAACTCAAATGAGACAATTGAGTTCACAGAAGGACTTGGGTCTTGAAGATGTGAGGAAAAATTTTGAGAAGTTGAAAGAAGATCAGCTGAGAGAGAGTGAGGAGCGACACCAGTCTGAGATGAAAGATCTCAAAGCTGAATTAGATACAGAAGTTCAGAGTTTGAAGGCAGAGCATAATGCAGCCATGGAGGCTATTCAGACCCAGAAGCAGCAAGTTGTTTCTGAATTGGAAGAAAAAGTGACTGAGGCTAATAAATGCAAAGAAGAAGAAGTGGTGCGTCTCAAAGAACAGCTCTCCATGGTTCAAGGTGAACTTACATCTACCCAAACAGATTTAAACCAAGCAGCAGATGGCCACAAGGTAGATTTGGAGGAATTGAAATCCCAAGTACAGGAGAAGGAAGGTGAGATACAGAAAATGACTTTACAGTTTGATTCTGTAAAATTTCAACTGGAAAGCGAGGTAGCGCAAAGAGAGGAGCGTGTCAAGTCTTTGGAGGAAGAGTTGAGAGAACAGAATCAGAGGCTGGAGACCATGGCTGGCACAGTGTCAGCAGAGCAAGAGTCATTACAACGACAGCTGGCACAAGAAACAAGCCGTGCTGATGACTTGCAGAAGGAAGTTATCGCACTTAGAGAGAAAGGGGAGACTCAGACTATAGAGTTTCAAGAGAAAGAGGCCTCACTGATAGAAGTGAATCAGAGTCTAGCTCAACTTCAGAAAGAGCATGCAGCAATTGAGGAGATGTTGCGTGCTGTCAATGAGGCTGCACAGGAAAAGGAGGAGGAGAGTAGTAGGAAAGTGCAAGAACTTGAAACAAAAGTGCAAAGCTTAGAAACATCAGAGAGAGAAATTAATGAAAATTGTAACCGACTAGTTGAAGATTTGAAAGTCAGTCATGAAACACAACTGTCTGAGCTGACGGTGAAAAAGCTAGAACTGGAAGAGCAGCTGTCAGCAGGACAGCAGGAATTGTCTGAGTGTAGGGCAGAGTTACAGACAGTCACACAGAGTTATGAGGCTCAGCTGACTCAAGAAAGAGATAGAGTTGGAGCCATAGAGACGACTCAAGGGGAACAACTGACAGCCATTAAACAACGCTTGGAAGAGACTCAGAACAAGGCAGAGTCTTCCCTGACCTCTGTCCAGGCAAGGTTAAAAGAGGAAGAAGAAAAACTAGTTAATGAACGTAGACAGCATGAATCAGACCTGGAGACTGTGAAAACAGAAGGGGAGCAGCGAGTGAAGGAGCTGAAGCAGAAGTATATGGTCAAGTTAAAGGAGATGCAGAGTCAGGCCAAGTCTACCATAGAAGGTCTGGAACAAAAGCTGCAGGCGGCCACAAGTGGCAAGGAGGATGTTTACACAGAGCTGACTAGAGCCAATACACGGCTTCTGCAGCTGGAGGAGAGCTCTGGCCTCACCCGAGATACAATTGTGGACTTGGAGAGGAAGGTGTCAGAAATGTCGACTGTGATAGAAGAAAAAGACACTGAGCTTGAGAAGATGAAAGTGGAACATGGGGAAAGAGAGAAAAGTTTACAGATCACTCTTGAGGAATCTCAGAGTAACTGTCAGGAGCTTCGTGAAAAGTTATCACTGAACCTACAGAATCTGGAGACAAAACATTCAGACTCAGATAAACTTATGATGGAGTTAGAAGAAGCAAATGTGTTGGTAAATCAGAAACAAGGTTCCATAGAGGGGCTAGAGAGGCAAGTGTCAGAACTCACTTCCAGCAATGAGAAGCAGAAAGAGGAACATGCAGAGGAAATGAAGAAGAAAGAAGAGAAACATGGTCAGGAGTTACAAGACAAGGAACAGAAACACTTGGTAGTGTTGCAAGAAAGTGAGGAAAGACATGTCCAAATATTGCAGGAGAAAGATGCAAAGTTAAATGAACTGGAAGGCATGCTTGACAAAACACAGAAACTGTTAGAAGAGACTCAGAATAACCGGTTGGACCTGGAGCAAAAAGTGCAGGCTGTGGGGGACACTGTGTCTGAGCTCACTGGCCTGCAGCAGCAAGTGTCACAGCTCCAGTCTGAACTAGCAAAGAATTCAGTAGAGTCACAGGAGCTGCAGGAGAAACTGCAGAGAAAGACTTCAGAGTGTGAGAGTCTTGAGGCAGAGAAAGTGTCTGCTCAGTCTCAGTTGGAAAATAAATCACTTGAGATGAACCAGAGTGAGGAAAAGCTTAGAACTGACTGGGAGAGACGACTCAAAGAGTGCAATGAGGCTCATGCTACCGAGCTGAGTACACTCCAAACCCAACTAGAATCTGAGAGCAGCTCTAAGGTTGCAGAGTACAAGAAAAAAGCGGAGGCGTATATTTCCCAGGTTAAAAAACAGTTACAAGATGATAAAAGTGCCACATCACAACAGCAACAAGAGGTTATATCAAAACTGGAGGAAAATGTCCGCAGTCTTTCTGAGGAAATGAACAAACTCAAACAAGACCATGAGAAGACAACAGAAGAATACAAAACTCAGCTGGCAGAGGTACAGTCTCATCAGACCCAAGTTGAACAAAGCAAAGACACTGTGATAGAGACCCACCTGAAAAAGCAGAGTGAGCTGGAGCAGAGCATACTGACTCTTCAGCAACAGCTTGATGCCGTTAATTCAGAGAAAAATTCTCTTTTGGAAAAGTTGTCTACAGTAGAGAGTCAAGGGCAGGAGTTGAAGGAAGGCCATAATACTGAGGTGAAAGAATTGCGCTCTAAATATGCTGAACTGGAGAAACAGTTTGAGTCTCTGAAGAGCGATAGAGACCAAGAGGTGGAGGAGCTTGAGGGAAAGCTGAGTGCTGTTGCTGAGGAGAAGGAGAAGGAGAAGCGGGAGGCACTGGTGACGCAGGACAATGAACATTCGACCAAGGTGAAGCAACTGGTGAAAGAGATGAATCAACAACTGGGGGAGAAAGAGAGAGAGTTCGAGAGCACCATCAGGGAAGCTTTGGGTAAGTCACGACTGCTTGTCTTTTGTAGACAATTTTTCAGGTCACCAATCTATTTGAGGTTGAATTTGTGGAAAGTAAAACTTAAATATCACCTTGGAAAGTAGATAATGCATTTTGGTTTGTTTGAACATTATCAAATGGAGGCGTGAGTGTACACTGTTTATTTATCGAAGGTTGAAAAAAAAAAAGCTCACCTTTGAGTATTTGAGGTCATTTTGCAGCATTATGTTCTTGTTTCTGTACTTCACCGTTCCTGTACATTCTCGAGTGGCGTCTGTAGCCTAGTGGTTAGGCTGCCGGACTCGAAATCGTGAGATTGCGGGTTTGGAGGTCCAAACCTCAGCTCGGTCCGACGTTGTGTCGTTGGGAAAGGCGCTTTACACGAATTTCCCACTTGGCTCGGTCCTTTCGGAAACGGACATTAAACCAGGAGACCCTGCCGCTTAAATAACCTAAGAGTGTTGATAGGGGCGTTAAACCCATACCATTTCACCATTTTCACCTGTACATTCTGAATTACTTCCATACACACAAGAGTTTTTTTGTCTTGTTTACTTGTTTTGTGTTTCCTTGATACTCTTCTTTGGTATTATGATATATTCTACAACTTCTGTCCTAGCTTTCCGCTGTTTTATGTGTTGGGTTTTCAGTGTATTCCATACTGTAAAGCTTGTTCGCTTCCCTTTATTCCACTTGAATGAGTAAAGAGAAACACTTTCCTCGTCGCAGTACTTCACTGTTCTTGTGCTCAATACTTTGATTATAATCAAAGGCTATCTTTATAGTGATTTTAAAATGATATATTTTCTCGTCACAATCATTCTTTCCCAGACAAAAGTGAGCGAGGAGAACAGGGAATGCTGCGGGAACACCAAGCAGATCTGGAGGAACTACGTAAAGAGCTACAAGAGAGAGATGAACGCATTGAGGAACTACATGTTGAATACAAGACAAAACTAGAGGTAGACACCTGCAATTTGGTTTTAAATTAAGAATGTGGTTTTCTTTTGAAAGCAGACATGTCTCAATTATTTTTTAGACAATATTAAAGAAATTATGTTTTCGGCCATTGTTGAAGTAAGATATCCCTCTTTACTATAAAGTATAAATGAATATTGTGCCAGAGTTAAATTATAATTGTCTTTCTGACATCATGTGCTCGTCTGTTCTCAGGTCCTGGTGCCTGATGTTATACTCCATTTTAGATTTTGATCCTCTTTTGTGTCTGATGTTTTTCAAGCTTTAAATTTAAACCCAAGCTCCAAATTACAATTGCTGGATTAAGTTTAAATTCTCGTTGTTAATTTGTGTTAACCACTTTACATGCATTGTTATTTTTTACATAAATGTGTATCAATATTATTCTTAGAATGTGAAGTCTGAACTTGAAGCCAAGGTGACAAGCCTTCAGTCTGAGCTGAGCACTGTGGAGCAACGCCGTCAGCAAGAGTTGTTGGAGCAGGATGCTCACATGAGAAATGAGCATGAGAGAAAGCTTCAAGTAAGGGAGAATTGTCATAGGGAGGAGCTTTCTGCCCTTACCAGGGAGTGGAACATTGAACGAAAGGTTCCTTTTCTCAAATGAAATGTTTCCATAGGGTCACTGTTCACTTCCTTGTATGTAGTTGTATTGTGCTTGAATCCTGAGTCTTATGTGTTTCCAGAGTGTGCTCTAGGTCGCTTTGAATTGCTCGGATCAGAGTTTTGTGTTTCTGTATTGGAGAAGTACAGTCGAACCTGCCCTGACGGCCACCTCTATAAGACGGCCACCTGTACAAACGGCCACTTTCCATTTCCCCCCTTGCGTTTTTTCTATATAATGTAACTGTGTAATACGGGCACCTGTCCAACGCGGCCGCGGCCACCATATTTTAACACACAACCCCTATCATACTAAGCATTAACACCTGTCTTAGACGGCCACCTTAGTGACTCCATTACATTTTGTCATTAATTGTGCATTGACCCCTGCTGTTGTGGGTGAGCCGTCATAATCTAATCACCTGTCGTTGTTGTTAGGTAATCCCTCCACTCCAACCGATCATGTTGCGTAAGCCCCTTCCACTGTTGACCAATAGGTACCAATTTCCAGCTGCTGGTGAGGGAAGCGTGTGATCCCTCATAACCCATAAGCCCCGCCCAGAACTCATACACAAATCGTAAGTGAGATGAGTGGTCCCAGTTTACCCAGTCTGTAACAAAGTAACAATGGACGTCAACATGAACTTGTGATAGAAGCGTCGCTCGTTCTTCGAGTGGTGGCGACCCATATGTTTGTTTTACCATGGCACTCGGTCCTCCTTGTCTGACACATTTCGTTTTATTGTCACCCTTGCACAAAATCAACAACAAAATAAAAATAACAAACTAAATACAAACCAACAACAACAACAACAATAATGCGGCTTCTTTCGATTGGGAATGGGGTTTGTTTTCTTCATCTTGATCAGTACTGCCTAAGACGGCCACCTGTCTTATACGGCCACTTTTCTTCTTGACAATGGGTGGCCGTTTTACACAGGTTTGACTGTATATTGACATTATCTGCTGCAATACTTAATGTTATCGGGGTATTCTTGGGTAAAGACAGGAATTGAAATTTCTTTGTCATTTGAATCCTTTTGAACGGATACTGTAAGGTTTCAACTTAAATTTAAGAAAATTCTCATTTTTCATCTAGTGACACTGAAGTAATAAGCCTCAGTCTGCCTCTCAGGTCAGTTTATAGACATTCCAAAGCTCAGGACAGTCTTAGCAAAATGCTGATGGGGTTAGCTACAGAATGGGATTTTTATTGTACTTTCAAAACTGCGATGTCTGGTCCCCAAACCTTATGCTATTGTGATTCTCAGTTGGCATGAAATCTACTTTTGCAGTCCTCGACACTCTGCCCATACACAGTATCGTATGACAGAAGCATTCACATTTGCTCCATACCAAGCTGATCTCTGTTTTGTTCCGAATAATTAGCCTTCTCTTTTAGTTGTCTCTCCAGGAAATTGTTCACTGATATAAGGACATTTTGAGGAAACACTTGAAACACTCAAAACACACATATATTCTGAGCCAATAACATAAATGAACTGTTGAGGTTGACTGAATTTAGGTCTGGGATGAGGATTTTCCAGAAATACATTCTTTCTGAATAGGCATAGTCCAGGTGTGCTCTTGTCCCAAATCATGCTTAGGCTTATAAAACTGCTCATAGTATGTGAATATTGGCTAATGTTAATAAACAATTGGTACTCATGTGCTGCTGTAGATTCTAGCGTTAAGAGTTCTTACCTTGTAGGCCTGTCATTACCTAGATTTGGCGTGCATGTAGTTGTTAAATGAATGAACAGGAGTTTTGCCAGAGAAAGGCATGGATATAATCTGATATTTGCACATACGCACTGCCTGTCTGACTTTGGCTGATGTTTAGCCTTTCTTCCACTGATTCTTTTTCCAAAATATATGCCCAGCACAGTAATGTAGCTTTCTAGAATAATTGTTCAATATATCGAGAACTTAAAAGGAGTTAGCTGATGAGATGTCTTAATTTATTGAGTTAAATCATTTTCAGCACTATGATTTACTTGGAATTTGATCTTGATTGTAAAAGCATTTTTAGTTCTTCTTTCTGGGTGAATGACTATCAACTACTGTGTCACTGTTTTGGTAGAGATGTGCTTGAATCTCCGTCACAGTGTTGTTTGATTTTGGTGATGTGTCTGGTGGTTATTTTATGTTGTTTTTTTATGTTTTTTCTTTCACATTTGTGCACTTGTAGATGCATATGTCTGATGTCCAAGCCACAACCCAACAAGATGAAGTGCGTGAGGTATTTATGTTGCTTTGATTGCTGCTCTTTCTTTATTGGGTAGTTGGTTTTTTTTCTCTTTAGTTGCAGCTCTGATTTTTTAAAAATTTCATTTCCGATAAGTGCCTCAAAACATTTCGGACAGACTTTGACTTTGAAGGCACAGGTATGACTTAGTTTGATTTTAAGATCAATGAAAATCCTGTTTCCTTTCTATTCATATTATATTCCTCTCTGTTTTATCCTGGAGAAATCTAAAAAATTGGATATAAGGGTAGAAGTGCATTCAAAATGAAAAATGGGAAGTTTTGATTCAAATAACATCACAAGTATGTAGACTAGCAGTCAGATGAACATTATGAATGAAATATAGAAGTGAGCCAATGGGACGTGCTCCTTTTTCTGTTGTATACTCTTAAGTTCATATTTATAAAAGGTTCTTATTTTAATGATAACGGGGACATTTTTGTGCTTCTTTTCTTGTTTGCTTGTTTTGTTTTTAATATTTAAAAAAAAATTTATTTTATGTAGCCGTCTTTTCATTTACCCAATAGTGTATAAAACATTTCAGTTTAATGCTTATTTTGTGTTATGACTTACTTTGTTGGGACAAATGAAGCATAATACCAGGGCTGAGTATTATGATGTGGCTCTCAAGTTGTTGCTCTACCCTTTAACTGTACTGCCAATGCACCGAATCCTTCAGGCATGTTCATATGAATGACATGGCAAAACTGTACCCACAAGTCCCCTCTTTGCTCTGAACTAGCCTGGTAACCTTTTGCATGCCTCCTCTTTCTGTATCCCTGAGATAAAACTTTGTATGATACTTAAAGAATTACCATATCTGCCATTTTTTTCCTTAAGAACATAATGTATGATGGATGGCTAAGGTATAGATGCATATTTACCATACTATTTATCTAGTACAGTTTTTATCCAGTTCATCAGAAGTTTTTTTAAAAAGTGCTTAATGGTATCACTATGTACAGATACATATATATATATAAAAGACTTGTTTTTCTGGAAAGTATAATATAATTTACTTTAAACAAGATATTTCCTATTTCAGTGATTACTAGTGACATTTCAATTGTGTATTGTTTAGAGTTTTTAATCAACAAGTTTCCTTTGAGAGTGCAATAATGTTTGTGACAGTGTATGATACTGGCTTAGTTAATAGTTTTAGGCAGTTTGGAATAATCATAGTTCTACTAGAATTTACAATTCTTTTTAATACCTCGGCCTGGATGTTTTAGTGATGAAATGTTTGTCATGTAGTGAAGTACTGAAATGGTTAGCAATTCCATGTCATCTTATGGAAAGGATAGTATTTATTTCCGGTTTGTTTCTGTGTCAATATTATCAATCTGTCATAGTCAGAAGGGTAATCTTTTATGTACTCTTCCCTTTGCTGCATTAGGAGATGGTGGCACAGAATCAAGCAAGGCTTACTGCCTTCCAGTCTGGTGATTCTGCCTCATTGCAACAGCAGGTCATTAGTCTGAGCCATCAGTTGGAGCAGGCGAAGGAGAAACACAAGTAAGAATGCTTCATGCATATGTTGCATTGAGGAGCTGTCAGAAGACAAAACTGGACAACTTAAAGATACAGCTGATAAAAGTCAAATTAGGCTGTTTTGTTTCTGTACCTATATGTACACTTTTGAAATACATCTGTTTAAGCTAGTATGGTATCTCATGCTTTAATTATAATAATTTGATGAAATAAGAAGCATAGTGCTCTGAAAAACAGAAAGTGAAAAACAGGGATGTGTGAAGGTTTTTCTTGCTCTGCCACATAATATACTATATGAGCTCCCAGTCGTCATCATAATGCACTGTGATGAGATTGGCAGATTATCATATTGGCTCACATTGAAACAGCAGAACTATATCTTGATTGAGCAAGGTCGGGCGACTGCTCAGGGTACTCACATTACCTTTTTCATTATTTCACACTATTCCCATTACCTTTCATAATCATTTGTGACTCTTGTTTGTTAAGTGGCCAGTGTGTATATTTATGTATGCATGATTTTCTTAATGCTCAGCTTGACACCAAATAATACACACACTTTTTTTTTTCTAAGTGCAATACAAAGAGGAACTTCAAGAAATTTTTAAAGTTAAAATCTAAAACTTTCTTGTTTTCACTGAAACGAAATTGGGAATTGAATTGTTGTTCTTTGGTTTGTTGTCATTATAAGGTAGGTCTGTCTACATATATATAGCAAAAGAAAGACCTCATTGTTTGCTGAGATGCTTGATTCCTTTCTGTTGTCTGGGTTTTGTTTTTTTTTTTGCTATTTTAGCTTAAGTGTGAAAAATGTTGTATGTACTTGTTTTTCATCCTCCACTTTACTCTGTTTCCTTACACAGTCCAGGCTTATATTTATGAATTGTAAATTAACAATATTTCTGTTACTTCCACTATTTAAGTGAAACTTTTGAAAAGTTAATTTTTTAATTTTGACTTGAGTAAGGAAAAGTTGTTGTTTCTATTATTCTACTCACTTTCCTCTTTTTTTAGCTCTTTTAATTATCTGAAAACTGATATTGTGAAGTGGAATGTGTTCATTGATCTAGGAGATTTTGTGGACTAATCTATGCTTTCGTCTGAATGAATGTCACATATTATACCTATTATATGTTTATGTGTTGTTCATAGGCTGGAGCTTGCTGAAGCTCGTAGTGGAGAAGAGATGTCTAGGGGCACCTTACCTAGTCCTTTGTTGGCAGCTCCTAAGATCTCTTCACAGCCCGGTGATGCCAATTACTCGGTGGATATTCAGGACCTAGAACTTCATAATATAGACCTGGAAGTGAGTGACCAGTTGTCTGTCAAAAACAGTTCAGATCCACAGCTGTGTCTGTGTCCGTTTAAAAAAAATAAGATCTTTTTGAAGATACAAGAGTATTTGGTGGGCTACAGTTGGTAAAAAATTACCACCCCTCTACTGTGTTTTTAGTCTTTTTTAATTTAAAAAAAAAAGATTTTAGCCTGCAAGCTGTACAGTGTAAATAAGTGATATGTACTAAATGCTGTCATGACTTCATATCATTCGACTTCTTGTCTCTGTTATGATTTCTTTCTTTGCAGAATTATGTCTATGCAGTGCTGTATAGTTTGATAAACTTATTTTGACAAGTGTCTTGATTTACTTTTTGTTGTTTTTAAAGATTGATTGATCCTAGCTTTCTTTTAGATTTGGTCTGTATCTAATGTTAAATGTCGTATGTCTATCTTTATGTTGTTTTCTTGTTTGTCTTTGCAGGCTCAACTGTCACAACTCAATGCAGAGCTCAGCCAGAGCAAGATTCGGGAGAGGGAGCTGAGTCGCAAAGTGAGCCCTGATTGTGTGTCTGTCATGATAAAAGTCTTTCCTGAAAGAAAAATTGTGAGAGGGTAGAGTGCTTATGGACCATTATTGCTTTCTGTATTCACAGAAAGTGTAATCAATATTTCAAAATCTGAAATGGCTGAAACATGCTTAAAATTTTTTCTTCTTTTTATTGATAAAGAGACATTTGTACTCTTCACTTGTGTCGTTTGTTGTGAAATTCAAAATTTTTCCGCTTGTAGTACTGTTTGCTGACAGTATTCATGGTATATTCTCTAGGTATATTGTCTTTTTGAAGGGCTTCCCAAACGATAATTTCCCATATCAAATATTTCATTAAATGAAGCTTTTGGTGGTCTTTGTGGCTGTAAGTTCACTTGTTTTGTAACTGATCTAGTAAACTCTTCTCCTGCTGTGTGTCTATTTGGGGACCATTGTATTTAACAGTTATATCTGACGGAATGAAGCCAAGTCTTTCCTTGTGTGTAAAAAGTGCCACAATTTTCCTGTTCTAGACCACTTCATGTCAAAAACTTGCAATTAGATTTGTCACACTGCAGGAGAGGAATTAATGATTTTTCTTTCTTTCTGTCATTCCTATGTTGTAATGTCTGGTTGCAAAATAGGATAGGAAAAAACAATGGGAAAAAAGTCTGTTTATGGAACTTTTAAGATGATCTAATATTTCATTGTCTTTTATCCGCTCCAATGGAAGCCTTACAGAGCTAATCACTTGTTTGCACTCTCGGCAGATTGAAAAAATGGAGGTCAAGGGCAAATATCCTCAGGATGATGATGACCCTCCTTTAAGTCTAGATGGTTCCTACAGTAACCATGACGATTCGGCTGTCTTCAGAGAGCCCACAGAATTTGAGGTAACATTTTCTGTTGTTAGTTCTGTGAGTAGTTCATGAGCTGTGTCGGGTGTGTGTATGACAAGCTTGCTTAGTTGTCTTGTTATTTTAAAAGATATAGCCTCTTACTTCAGAATTCCTTGAGAGCTTTGTATTGAACCGCATATTTTTATTAGTGTAATTAAACATAAGAAAGGACTGTTATAAGACTTGATTATGATATATTGACGACAACTACAGATATTTGTGATGTAATGGTTAATCTCTTCACCTTGCAAGCTGTGTGTTCAGTTCCGTAGTGGAGAAGGTATTTTATTATCTCCTTTCTCCCGCGATGTAATATCCTTTAAAGCTGTGGTTGGCACTAACACGGAGGGCCAAAGCAACATGATATATAAATATGAGGCATCGTGGTGAAATGAGGCGCCCGTTAAAATAATAAAATCAAAGAAACGGACATTTTTCTGGCTTTCGGGCAAATTTGTCTAATTTTCTGTTTTGGCTCAACACCTTTTGTGTCCATTTTAAAACACATTTCCGTGTTCACTTTACTGAAAAACTTTGATTAAAGGCACAAAAACTGTAAATTTTCAGTTTCCAAGGACTCTCAAGCTATGAAAATTACCAAACTTTGGCAGCCATTTTCTCGCTAATTTTACCTCTCAAAGAAAGCGACCCCCACCTCCTTGAATTGCAAATATCATGACTTCTGTTCTACATAGATTGTACCACAAATGATCTATGTGTTGTTGGGGTTGAAAAGGTAAACTGTTTTTTGGCCTGTGCTTGTTCATAGCATGGGGTCAGGGGACTTTTCTCTTCCTGACTGAAAGGTATGTGATGTTGATTAGTGTTCTTATGTACTGTAGTATGTATTATTTATTCAATGTATTTTGTTTGTTGCAGTACCTGAAGAACATCCTGTACGAATTCATGATGGGCAAGGAGACGAGGGTAAGTATTGACTAAGCGTTAGTCAAAAATAAACCTTATCTATCTATGTGTATGCTCTTTTAATGGCCCCCATTTTAGGTGGGTTGTTTTTTTCTCTCCTTTTAAGTAATGACACGGAGAGCTGAGTAGATATTTTTGTTGCATTACTTGGGCGTTTTCCTTTTTTGTAGTTTTATCACCCTTATTAAATCAAATGTTTTATTGCCATATATGTTACATTATCCAATACTGGTATCTATTTGCCTTTTTGACACCATAGGTGTTCTGTTTTTAATATTGCCTCTGGTTTTCAGAGCAAAGTTTCTTTATTTCAATTTTTTCTGGCTTTCAGACGCTGGCTCGCGTGATTGCCACTGTGGTCAGATTCTCAGATGAACAAACCAGAAATGTAGTTGCCAAGGCAGATGCTAAATCGGTGAGTCTTTTCGTTTACAATACCAGTAATTACTCGTAGGGACTTTTTCACAGTTCTCTTTCAGCCTCAGCACAGAGGTTTATGTGGCTTGAAATTCTTGGTCTCTGTATCCAGCTCTTTTTTTGGGGACTTGGTAATCTCTAGAATTCCACTTTTAAAAATTAGACCTTAGTAACCGCTCCCTTTGATCTTTTTAAAGTATACATGTCTTTAAATTCTGCATAATTGTGTTTAATGGAACTTTTTTTGTCTCGCTTCTTGTTTATTTGGGACTTTGTGAAGAATTTTTTCTGTTTTATTTTGGATCAGTTGTTTTACTTAGCATGTTTCTTTTGATGTAAGATTGGATTTCTTAATTTGGTGAAAATGCTCTACATTAGGATGAACCATTGCTAGTTCAGCATTCTTCATGTCAAGAATTTATTTCCAATTTGCTTCCGTGAGATGAGATGATTTGGGATAGCATGATGCTTTTTTTAGTTTAAAAAAAAAAAATGTAAATGTTGTTTTGAGTGTTGTCCTGCAGTATTTTGTTGTGTAATTTACTGTACTTTTTTTCTTCATATGAAAACAATACTTACCTGTACCAGTCCAATACAGAATTTTTCAGGGTTTCCATCATATTGGGAATACCTGGTATGTTAATGCTTTGAATTATGGAAGGAAATTGAAGTTACAAGGTTTGAAAAGTATGGTGAAAATGTTCATGACTCAAAATCTTTCTTTTTTTAAACTTTCTGTAAAAAGTGTACTACAGACAATGCACACTACTTACTGATTCAAAGGTAGCAGACAGCCGTCCTCTAAAAACTGCTTTTCCTTTCACTGGAAATGGATTGCTAGGGATAGACATCTGGAGGGTCTACAGACACAAAATCATCATTATTTTCTAAGATAAAAACACCTTTGCAAGTATACACTGCGTGGCTAATAAGTTACTCCTTGTTTGGCCCCACTTTTTGGTAATCTTTGAAGTAGATGACAAGAAAAAGGCAGCTTTGAAAAATCCACATACAAATCTCCCTCGTATTTATATGGATTTTGTGAGAAAATCTTGAGAGCAATCAAAATTGAAAATGGCATGCAATGAATAAAAGTGCATTAGATAGATTTTAGAAAATTGCAAGAGACTAGGGCATGACTATGTTAGCAAAGTATTGTGTGTTCTTTTAGTTGTGAACATAGTCTGTTCAGAACCCTAAGAACTTGTCAGTCTGACAATCTGACTACTTTAAACTCCTAATCATTTTGCAGATCTGATCTCAACAGACAGTTCACATGGTACTTATCATTTCCTTACTTTTGCATCCCTGATGTTGTCCTTTTTATTTCTGTTATGGGGAATTTTTGCTCTCACGTTTTCTTTTTATTTGAAGGATTGAAGTAACAGGTTTTTTTGGGGGGTACTGGTATCTGTAGTGTAAAATAAAAAGTAAGTATGTATGCTAGTATTTCGGGCAACTAATTTTCTGTGGGTTATTTCTTTGCCTTGTCTGTGAGCTTTGCAATTGTTATACTTTGGCTTTAATAAACAAATGTGAGGTTTTTGTCATTTTCCTAATCTTGAGATTCTTTTTTGTATTGTTTTCCTCTGTCAAGTGACATGTTTGACAATGTAGACCAGCATATTGAATAAGTCATGTCTTTGTTTGACCTAGTATGTCACATAGCCCAACTCCAGTTTGTTTCAAATTATATGCAGTTTGAGGGTTGCTGAGGCAGGGGTGTGTTTGTATTCATGAAATCGAGTGTAAGTGTCAGCATGCTTGAAAGTATGTTGTTGTTCATGATTGGTCTCTTGTTCAAGTTTGTGTTTTTTGTGTATGTGAGTGAAAGAGAGAGAAGGGAGAGAAAGAGTGAAAAAGTAAGTGTGATTGTCTTGTCATGTGCCTGACATAACCATTGTCTTTGATTTCTTAGCAATACTGCTCTTTCTGGACAACAGTGCAGTTAAAAAAATATTGATCAAGAGTTTTGCAACTCCTCTGATGCTGTTTCGTCATTCGATCTTATGAAGCTGATATGGACAGCCATAATGCTTATGAGTAGTGAACGGAAGGAATAAAAATTAGAAATTGTGGAAATGGGGGTGGATATTTAGTAGAAGTGTTTGGCCTATAGTCTCTTCTTTGTTTTACATTGATTAAGTGTGGGTAACCAATCATTTTGTACAGATTTTTTTCCTTTTATTTTCCTGTTTTTGAACTTTTCAATGGTCTTATCACTCAATGTTTTTTGTGGATGGGTTTATTTCTAACTGCTTTCACCTGCAACATTACTTATTCCCCTTTGTTGATGGTGATCCATAAAGAATGATGTTTTGTAATTCGCTTTATAGAATCAATGTTTTTTAGCATGGCGATTTACCCCTTTTCGTCTAGTCTTGTACTCTATGCTCACTCAGTCACACAGGGCTTCAAATGATTTATTTCCAGTTTGTTATGGCTTAAACACAGTTTGCCAGTTAAATTTGTGCACCGTTAGTTTTTGCCGATTAATGGAGCTTAGGGTGAAGGGACCTGTAACTGTATGTCTCCATAGTTGTGTAGATGTTCAGCCGAAGAAAATTTGGTACTTTTGATCAAGTCGAATTAGAACCATTTGACAATTATCGCAGAGTCTAGAATGTTGGAAATTTTGTGTAGTCTTCTTTCATTGTAAATGTATCTTTGGTGAGTGCACATTCATAGACCTCTTGATTTTGTATTATTTCGTGTAGCAGTCATCTGGTTATTGGTATAACAACATTAAGTGTATGTATTCCCCGTACCCCCACCCCAACCCCACCACCACCACTTTTGAGGTTTCCAAGCCCACGATTTTGATAGACATTCCCCTTTGAAAAAGCCTTCATTGTGTGAATTTGCTTGCTACAGTTAAGTTTTTGCTTGAGAACAATTGGTGTTAATTGTAAAATCAACGTGAAAAAAGGAAATGCATTATAATAATAAATTGTAAGGGTCTTCTGTTAAAATTCCTCTGTCAGTGGAGTCCGAGTGCAGGTCTAGAAGTGTTTGGTTGGCAGCTCTACCCCGACCCAAGTTAAGTTTTTTTGTCACATGACTAGTTTTTGATTTGATGTTTCAAAACATAACTTACTATACATTGATTTTTTTTTCTCTCTATATTTCTTGATTTTTTAAACTTGTAATTTTATGTTGCACCTGGATTTTTTTCAGGAGTTTACTTTTCCAGAGTTTTTTGGGGGGCTGTGGAATTTAGTGTGAATATTGGAGATATGAATTTGGCCGTTTAACTCTTTTCCTACCAGGCTAAAATCCACCACTGGCCCAGGGCTTTTCCCTGACCTATTTTTACGCCCCTACCCCGCCACAGGAAAATGTCAAAACATCCGACTAAACACACACAAACCATATCATGTGGCCCATCAAACTGAAGGTTAAAAAATAATCTATCAGATGGTGATACAATATTAAAGATTAATTCCAATTATATTAGTTTGGGGTTTCTAAAAGTGATTATGCAATATCGAATGTGTCATATGAAACAACAATTTTCCTGCTTTGAAAGGTCATATTTAAAAAGGTACAACAACAGCATCATTCAGACTTCCCAGGTAGGTTGCCTCAAGTAATGCAAAGAAAAGCTGAAAGTTGTGTATGTGTACCTAATAAAGAAGTGAAATATGAGACATATGCTGAAGTCAGGAGAGCTCTTTTTTAAAGATTTTTACGTTTCGAAGGGGACAAAAAAAAGCACTGAAATGACTGAAAATCGTCTCTCAGTGCTATATTTCTTTCGTATCTGCTAACAGGAAGTCTATTCTATTATTTTGAAAACTTGGATTGGCCGAGAATTTCATTACTGGATTGGAATAGATAGCGAGCCACTCGAGCCCTATTTTGCGGCTCTCAATCCAGCGAGGCCAGGTTCTCGAGCCGCAAAATGCGGCTCGCGGTAGTGAAAGTGTTAATGAAGGTTGGCGTCATATTTATGAAAGGCTGACACAGGTTTAAAAAAAAACTAAGGTGTAAAGCATCCAACAATATGTAGGCCTACTGTTATTTATCTATTTCAGCACGTGGTAAAATAACTAGTATCTTTTGCCCTTGTGTAGTTTGAAAGGTGTGACACTGCATTATGTTTAGACCTGAGCAAAGTTTTTGTCCTCCTTGTTATATTTGATCTCTTGGTCTTTGAGATATAAGGTAAGGCTTATGTCCTCTCGTATCATCTGTGCTTGTGCGAGTAGTTGGAGGGTGTTGCTCATTGGTCTTACTTTTTCACTTTCTGTCTGTTATTGCTGTCTGTTTTTTTTCTCAGCAGTTGATGACCGTTATTTCATCAATTTTTTTCTCATAACTTCAAGCAATGAAATTTTAATGTCGACATTTAAATAGGCTACTACTGATGCATTCTTTCAATGCTTGAGAAAAAAGATTAGTTGGGGAGGAGGTCAATGAGTTATTTCGTATATTACTCAGGGAGGTTCTGTTGTGTTTATGGGTTCTATTCTGTTACAAACTTTTAGTCTGCATTTAATGTATGGCTTGCAGAAAAACTACACAGCTAACAAGTGACTGATTCAGTATGTTCATGTAAAAAAAGTAAGCAAGTAATATTCGTCTCACAGTGGACTGTTGAAATTTCTCTTGTAAGTGTTGATATAATATATTCTCTGGTAAGTCATTTTAACTTTACTGTTCTGAGCTAGTAAAATGAACTTTTAGCATGCATGCAAGCATGTACATGGTTAATATATATATATATATATATATATATACTGTGGGAAACAAAAGGCAACTTTGACTGTCTACTCCAAAGGAAAGTGGAAGATTCTTTTAAAAGAGATGCAGGCTTATGGTATCATTTTTATGACCTGTAGTTTCTACAACTTGTCATTACAAGAATGCCTCAGGGCTTCTGAAAGAGTGGATACAATTTGGAGTCTTGATTGAGTAGCTAATCAACGTGGAGAGTCTTCAAACCGATACTGAAATCTGGAGGCTCAAATTGTTATTGCATGTTCTTCACAGACACAGTTATGTTGAGGAGTAAGTGCATTAACATACTGCATTGACATATGCTTGTGTTTTGTATTTTCAAGGATTGTCGCAAAGATTTTTCTCCAGCAAAGGCAATTTTTTTGAAAACTGCATGTGAATTTCTGTATTCGTGATTGATGAGGTTTTGGTATTAGTGGAGAATTCTGGGCTCATTCTGTTACTATATTTTCTTTGTTGATCAGTGAGTACTGTGGTATATGTCCATGACTTATAGATTGTTATTTTTAAGAAAGTCTCACTGCTGTTTCCTGGAGCATTTTTTTCCTTTTATTTTCACAGCTGTGGCGTTCCCCATGAAAGCTGTCTGCGTATATCGGATAAGTCTACCCTTCCTGTGAATTTGATGTACCATGCTTTGAGGATATAGGCTGGTGTCAAAAAGGGACAAGGCTTTGTCATTGGGTTTCTATCTCTCTGTATCAAATCAAACTGGAGTAATATCAGGCCCCCTTCATGTATTTCCGAGAGAAATTAATGGTTGAAAATGGCAATCTGTAAAAGTTTCTAATAAACAAGCTGTTAAAAATACCAATGCGATTAGTGTAACAGGTGGTTTCAATAAACTGTTCTTCCACTGTGGACATGAATGGGAAGAAAGTGTGCCATGCTTCTTTGCTGACATTACAAATGTGGAATACATTCCTCTGAGATGACTATCATGAATTGTTTACTCTGCTTCACTCTTTGGGGGTTGTATTACTAGACAAAGAAACATTTGTTTTGATGAAATACTTTTGAAGGTATTCACCTTTACACTTTTAAGCGTGTGATTGAAAAGCATTCATTGAATATTTTATCAGCAGATAGTCTCAATTCTATTATTGTTCCTGCTTTTTGTTATACTTTTGTTTGTTTTGGGTTTTTTTTTTTTTTGTGGGTTTTAATTCGGTGGACTTAAAACAAGACATGATAATCATTATCAGTAGATACTACTTTCGTGCGACTACTTTCGTGCGATACTGTAACTGAAAATGATTTCACAAATATATATATATATATGTGAATTGTTTAAGGATGGTAAGAGGGGGTGATTAATTTGGTTAGCTTGTATTTGAAATCTATCCTCTCTTATGTTTTATGGGTTTTAGAGTAGGCCTGCTCCAGTTTTCATAAGTAAGTTCCTATGACAACAAATGTTGTCTTAATTTATACTTGTTCGGCAAATAATTGGGGGGGGGGGGGGGTCACCACATTTGGTATCAAATTGGTGGTCATATAACATTACTGTAAGATTCATTTGCCGTTTGAAAATAATTTTTACAGTGAAAGCCATTGTCTGTATTCTTCATAAATTCTTTAGAGTAGCGTAGTGTTAAAGGATATATACACTCTCACATACATCTATGTACAGGTACAGAAAGTAAAGGACAGTGTAAAAGGTCTTTTGCAGTGCATACCAAAAGGGCAATTCAAAACTTTCAGATTTACCATTCTCTCTTGTGCTTGGCTGTCTGAAGAATTGAGACTGGGTTTAAAAAAAATCAGTATTTATCATTGCTTTGTAAAGACTGCAGGTTTTACACATTTCTACAATTTTACATTACTATCCAAATGTCAAACTCCTCATAATCAAACACCTCTCTTTCCAGTTTTTCATGACCTTATTAAACAAGATCAACAAGTTCAGTGAGAAATGAATTGTGTTGCAACTGGACCAGATATTACAGTGCTGTTGAACTATAGTGCAGTATATGATTCTCTTCACTTGTCTTTTCATCTGCTCTTCTGTTATAGTGGTGGGTTGTCCTTATTTTTCTGTAAACTGTAACTGTTATCTTAATCAGTTCCAGGCAAAATGCGGGCATAATTGCTTTGCCTCGCCATGGACTACAACTCAACAATACTCTATTCTAACTAGTTGAACAGATGCATGTCTTCTGAAAACTTGTAAGTGGGCTGATAAGCAATATGTTTTCTTCCATATAAGTAATTTCGAGTGGCATTTTCTTTTCTGCATTTGAATTTGTGATATGTTTAAACAGTGCTGTGAAGTGCAAAAGTCCCGTTCATCTTCGCACAGCGGTGATAAGATGACATTTGTAGACACTGACATGTCCTACGCATTAACAGTACCAAAGAAATTCTCATTCTTTGTTTTTGCTTGATCCCATGTGTTATAAGTACCGGTACCTCACTGTTCAGCCATTTTTGCCTGTTGTTTTAAGTATGAATGGTAATGTTGTTTTAAAGCTTCTTTATCTGAGTCTGCCTTGCACTTGCACTTATCATGATACATACAAGCTGAGCTTGAGAACAGATTTCATTATGTAGCTTTTTCTCTTTTGTAAATTTCTGATTTTACATATTTTACTTTACAGTGCTCAAATTTAGTTAGTTGATATTTTTTAGTGGCGATTTCTCTTTTTTAAATTCATTTTTATAATCAATACTGATTTTGCTTATACTATTTAGCTTCCACAGCTGAAATTCAAAATAATTTGTGTTGCTAAAATTGTTGACATAATGCTCTTGATAATCCTTGTCAAAGATTTCATTATGTCTAGATCTACAAGTGAATTGAACTTGGATGAAAACCATCTGATGGGAGAAATGGTTTGTTGAACAAATGGAAGATTTTATCCTTGTTTTTGGAATATCAAGCTTCACTTTTTTCTTATCCTTTCTAGAAAATTACTTAGAATTTCTTTGTATATATATATATATATATATATTCTTTTGATTACCATTATGGTCTATGCTTGATGTATTGTGTAATTTATTCTAGCTCATAAATTTCACTGCCACACCAACAACTGGCAGGTCTGTGAAACTGCTCTGTCCTTTTCTCACAGTGCACTTCAAGGGCAAAAATGCTCCGTCATTTGTTGTGGTGCTAACTTCTGTATTAGCTTCCTTTGGTTTTCTGAAAAAAAAATGTTTATGGTGAGTTTTATTATTCTATTATTTATTGATTGCCTTTATTGTTCTCATCAGTTTACATAAGGTCTGAATAGCAGGGCATAATTGCTACAGTGGTTTGAAAAGACATGGACTGAGGTGACTGGAACTGAATATAATATAAGCATACTAGATGAGGCTCGGAAAAGGAAGAGATCTGAGGTCATTGTTGGAGTTTTTTTAGTTTTAACAACTGCCATTTTGAGATAGATTGAGATAGACTGTTTCGAAAGATTTTAATGAAATATGATAAACTTTTATGTGGAAAAGCTAGGATTTTTGTCTCTACGTTATTTTGCAATGTTTACACTAGATAATTTCCTAATTGTTGTAATGTAGTGAGAAGCCTGGTCCTGCTGCAAGAATTTCATGGCAGAGAGGTTTATGAGATTCTCATTGTCAGCTGAACTGTGAAACCAACTGGAACTGGAGTATGACAACATTTTCTGGCTTTTGTTGTAAAATGTGCAATGTCCTTTGTTATTTATTATTCTCCCTACTGCTGTAAATATGTTTTCTCACATTATCATCATATATATATAAAGTACATGTAGAACTATTTATTTATTACAAGGAAAATTGGAAAGTAGCTTCAAAAACACTGAAACTCCAAGGCTGTCTTGGTTAATTTCCATTATGTTCATGATTTTTCAAGCCTTTTATATTCTGTGATAAAGAGGGAAGTTGAGGAAATTCTTAATACAGTATAACACAGATAGCTTGAATTCGTCGAAGCTGGCCTCGGTAGTTCGAGGGATATCTTATAAAGATAAAGAAGAAAAAAAAATGGACCACAGGCACAGTTCGATGGATGCGTGATTTCAAGCCTTCTGTGTTCGACCTATCCTTGTTATACTGTACCTTTCACAATATAGATGTCAGAGGGTACAGGAAGCCTCTGATATCACCTATGGCATTCCACATGTCGGTAGTTAGGTCTATCATCCTTTGTTGTTTGACTTCACATACACATACAGTGTACATAAATGCGTTACTCATATCAAACAGAGGCTACTCACTGACACATAATACATTGAGAGTGTGTATTTCTTTTGGTCACTCCCTGTTATGCTGGTTGTGTTTATGTTAATCTTGTCCTTGCTAATGTTAGCAAACTCTGTCTTTGTGGAGAGATTATGTGTAACAAAGCAGCCCATCTCATGACAAGTCCCGTACAAATGTCTGTGCAGCATTCTTGAAATAGTAATTTCAAGTGGAGTGTACTTGATTGGTTCTTTATTAGGAGTGGACACGTTATTTTACTATGTTTGTCTTATATAGAATGTAATGTATTCTGTAATTTCTGGATAAGTGTGACAGTATATATTCGAAAGTTCTGTTTGATGAAGATAAAGATTTTTTAAAAATTGTGCGGACTTTGAGGAGCTTTAGAATGCAAGGAAGAAAGGTAGACACTGTTTTTGCAGTGATGTGTCTATGTATGTGAGGGGGGCTGTTTTTTGTCATTATCGTGAGATACTCTGTTAAAACGAGTGATTTGAAGAATAAAAGATGGTTGCTGATTCTATCTGCTATGCTGTTGTGTTTGAATTTTGTTTGCTTTTTTTGTCAATATTATAGCAGAACTGAATCTTTTATTTATTTCTATTAATTTCACTGAACCACATTCCTTCATTTCCTTTGACATTTGAATATCTATCTCATCCATTCTTACTTAATTACTTTGCTTTTAATATCACAAATTTTAATTTGGCCAATTTACGTCTTATTTTATATCAAAAGACAAGATGGGATTGCAGTTTGGTTCCTGAGAAATAGTTTTTTTATTTTAAGTATCAGTCAGAGGCCTTTTTTTTTAAAAGTTACCCTGCTTGGAGAATCAATAAAAGATGGTTGTAGCTTAATATTCTTTGTGTACATTTTTTGCAGTAAGTTTGTTACAGAGTGAAATGATGGTTTCATATGGGTATCTCAGATAATCTCATCTTTTTTTTCAACTTTGCTGGCACCCAGATTTTGTGAATGCTCCAAACTAGAATTATGTTTAATTTGACTTATGGTTCAGAATTTGAATTACAAATCTTTGCCTCTTGTTGTCTAAAGCTGTTGTCAATTTGTTTGGTCTTGAAAGTCTTTTGTGCTGAAAGAATACAAATCAAGACACAATGTCCACCATGGGCTTAAGAGTAATAAGAGCAGTAGTCGGAGAAATAAAAATATAATTGAGGGATATGTCATTTTAGCACTATTTTGTACAGACCTTTCTAGTGATATGTAGCCCAAAAATGACACCTTGTCTGAACAGTTTAAAGAAAGCTATTGCGAAGCAGAAATAGGTAGGCCTACTGGAATAGCAGTAACAACAAGTGTATGTCTGCAAGAACCATCTGGTTTCCATTAAAAATTATGTTGAAAAAGGAGGACTGAGGCACATCTCTTTGAATGTCATAATACTTTGATGAAGAAGGAATTTAAGCAGTAGTATATGTAGAGCTATGAGATAAACTGGATGATTTAGACAGTGACTTATTTCTTTGTCCAGCTGTGTGTTGTACTCCAGAGATTATTCAAATTGTGGCTACTGTGATTACTCGTTCATTTACTATTCAATGATTCTCGTTGAATAATTACTAGCAGCTAAGTTTGCAGGGTTCTGGGCGGAGTAATAATGCCAATGTGCATTCTGTTCACTTAATCTCTTATTCTTATTCAATTCTGTGAGTGGTTAGTTTATTGATGCTCAAATGTGGTCTGATCGTTCTACCTCTTTTCAAAGTCATGGCAATCTTAATCTGTCCCAGGTGAAGTGTGGCAGTTATGCAGGCTTACAGTAAACTGCAATTCACATTCTTCTGTGAGCTGATTGTTGTACTTGTTCATAACAAAGTTATCAGATCCCCCGGGGCGGTGCGACTGACTGTAGTGTCTTTAAAAAAGCCATTCCCAAAGGAGAGACATTTCTTGTTCAAGCACAGTAGAATTGTAAATGGGCTGATTCATGTCATGCTCATAACTGTGCCTGATCTACAACAGGGAACTGTTTTCTTTCCTAATCCTTACTATTGTCATTTCCTCTACTTCTTTTGTATGTTTGTCACTCCCTTGGGACCTGCTATTTCCGGGGTGCCTTGATAGACGAAGCAGATCTTGTGCTGTTGAAACTAGAGAGGTGAGCAGAGTAAATTCTGATTCCCTGTAAAGACTTCTCTGTTGACACCCACCCCTTGGCGCTCATATGACCTTATGCAGTTGCGAGCGCCGTAAAACCCTCAACCATAATAATAATAAAGTTATCCGAGTTTTTGTTCACTTTATATACTAAGTACATGCATAGCCCTTGATTTTGAGGGGGAGGGGGGGGGGGATTACAGCTGACATGGGTCTAGTATATAATCTCTCATCCCATCAGATGATGACTCCTGGACTCCGAAATAGCTCATTCAGCCAGCGTGTTCTCATTTATCTTCTCATTCCCTACTGGGTGCTTGTACACTGTCCTTCACTTATTTCAGCCAGTTAAGTGTTCAAGCGCTATGGTTAACTAATTTCAGCCGGTTTGGTTCTGTAGGTGCTTGGCAGGTGCTCTGGTTTGGTTTGCTTCTTCTGGACTACTGTCCTTATCTTCCGTCCTCTTTTTTTTTTGTGTTACTTCCTACTAACAGCTCTAATCTTCAGCACTTATATGATCTATTTGTGTTTCAAGTAATAATAATAATAGATAGTATTTGCCTAGAGCGCAATTTCACTCTCAACAGCAAGCTCTCTTTGTGTCATAAAACTCTTTAATAACTAGAAATTAGATGAAAAACTACTAATTAGTTCTCTAATGCTACCATTCACTTATTTCTCTTTCTCATTTCAGTTTGGAGAGGATACACTGAATTCTATCTATATGTTATATCAGGCTTTTATTGCTTATCATTTGTGTGTGTTTTCATGTATAATATAAATTATTTGTCCCTCAGAATGAAGTTAAGGTTTCATCTTATAATGTGCAGTGTAGTCCTTGAGGTAAAATGAAGCGTATAGACATAGTCATGATGTTTAGTTTTATGAGCAAGCGAGATGATTCTGAAGCATTTGACAAAATGTATCAAGATTGTGAAGTATTTGTAAATAAAGAAAGATATATAAAATCTCAAATGTGTGGAGTTGTATAATTCTCTCTACTCTTTGCATGTTTAGATGGTCAGGTGAGAAAAATGTGTTATTTTTTCTCAGCATTTTTGTTATGGAACATATCTGGTGAATTTGAGGTAGGGTCATTCATACTCATTCATAGTATATATCAGAAATGGAAGATATTTTTCTTTGATCTAAATTTGGGAAGGAGAAAGGTGGCAAGATGTTGGTAGGAGATATCCAATGTGCTTTCATTTCTTATCATGTCGTGTTGGTTATGGTAGCACCAATAACAAGATTACCATATATGAAAAACTGATTGTTGTACCCTGTGAGGTTCTGGTTTTTTTTTCCAACATTTTCCTTTGCAGCTTTGTTGTGATCTGAATTTGAATGCATGAGAATTTGCATATTCTGTCGTCGAATGAGTGAGGGCTGAGACTGACGTGCGATCAAAGTAAAAGGACCGAAATGTGATGCAACTGTAATGTGAATACTGAAATTAAAACTTGGCTATATATATATATATATATTCTCTGAGACATTTTGTTGACTTTATTTCCTTATATGATTTTTGTCTTTTTGTAGACTTTCCTGGCTGTTCTGTGAGAGGAATTTTGTAGCTCCTCGTTTCTGTATTTTAAGTACTGAGAGTGTTTAAAAAAAGAAAACCCACTTAAACGGCAATAACTTGGTCAACTTTGAACAAAATTGTAGGCCTACAAAACTTGGCAGGAATAAAATTCCCATCATGAGGATGTTACATTTGTTGATATGAAAAAAATAAATCCTATATCAAATAGTAAAAATTTTAACCAAAATTGACTGAAACACAAAACTGCAACTTCTTAAAAATCAACTGTATTGCTCCATTTCAAATAGTCACTAACTGTGCTTTGAAGACCAAATTATTGGCATTGCTAAATAAAGTCAAGGAAGGTGTTTGCTATTTAAATCTCCAGGTGTAGACCATTTCTTTCTACTTTCCATACAAGCTCCAATATGCCACTGGAAATTTTGAATAACTCCGTGGCATGTTTTTGGAATGATTCTCGAGTTTTAACTGTTCAGTTGTTTGCGGGTTGTTTCCCTACACTCTATTTGTAAAAAAAAACCAAAGGTAATTGAAGGGTCTTAAGTTGAGGGAACTGTGGTAACCATTCATTTGAAAAGTTTCGACTTATAAGGCTTTCCCCAAACCTTTCTTGTAAACATATCAAGGCCACTCTTGATGTGTGGGTTGTGGCCCTATCCAACTGGAACCAGACCTCTACAGCATAACACATTCTCCCAAAACGTCCACAACACTTTCTTGGCACGTTTCGATATCTATCTGAGGTGGCTGTTGTGGTTTTCCCATCCTTGTCCTGAAACCAGATTAGGCCGATTCCGCTCCTGTAGCTGAACACTCATAAGAAGTAAAATTTTGCGTCTTACTCAATTTTGGGTAAAATTTTTCAAGCATATTTCTCGAACACGTTCATTTATTGATTTTCTTCATATTTACAAACTTGACGTTCTCATTGTTGAATTTTATTTGTTTGAATTTTTGTTGAAATTAGTATATATAGATCCGAGTTATTACCCTATAAATGAGGCCTCTTTTTTTTTTTAGACGCCCTGTACTATTTGTGGGCGGAGTAGTTATGATAAACCAAAAAATAGTCCAGTCTCTCTTTCATTTGATTAGTCGAAAAATTTTTATCGAAACTTTCCTTCTGGATGTTTGAAATGGACACAGCCTGGTCTTGTGTGCATCATGTCTGGTTAGCCATTTGACTGAACAAAAGAAAACATGCGATAAACAAAGTCAAACAGAAGAGTCAAAGCCAATAAAAAAGAGTGTAAAAGGAACTTTTATTTGAAAATGGAATGCTAGTCTTTTAAGTAGAAAGGAAAATATTTATCTGATGCAACGACATACTGATCTGGATTCTCTGAATCCTGATAAAACATCACAACACTTTGCCCACACAAGCTTGGTTTCCTTCTTGAAAAAAAAAAGACAAAATTTATAAGAATCCATCAACTCGTAGTACAGAATGCAATATAACCTAGTTGCTTTCACTACCAAAGCATTGAACTCGGGATAGATATCACAGCATAGTATTATATAGATAATCCAAAATTAATATGCAATATTTGTATATTTTATTTATCAAAACATCACAAAACAAAGTTGTATTTCAATGGCCAAATCACATTTTATATTCATTGCTCATAAGTTTAGATGACCTTGTTGTCCACCATCCCTCCCTTGTCAAAGGCCTTTTTCTCTTGCATCAACATTGCGTTCACTGATTTTGTTCTTCTTTTTTTAGAGCAAGTACTAAGTTAACTTTTGCTTTTATGCCGCTGCTAGAAACTCATGGACCAGTTAGGTAAGGCAGAGCTAACATAACAAAAGTTTATGACTTCTCAACTCACTGAAGACTGGGCCTTTTTTGGGTCTACATACGCTGAAGACTGGCGTTTTGGGGGGTATTTCAATATTTCAAACAACACCCTTCCCAAAGACATACAACCACCATTTTTACACACATAACAGATCTAAACATGCCCAATATGACACAAAAAACAGAAAGGCGATATCTTTTAAAGTTTTTTGGTTATTTTTTTTTAAAATGTGCAAAAATTTGTTGCTCGCCAACATTTTTTGACGTCATGTCATATGTTAAAAAAACCCAACAAAACCCCCAAAAATTAATCTTGTGTGTGTCTTTTATTGTGTTTTGTGTTTTAAAATGAATCAAAAGTCCAAACTCATGAACAGGCAGGTAATCGATATGGTAATCCTTATGTATTAGCTGTCTAATCCACTTCAGTGGGAAAAAAAACAGGGCTCCAGACAAAGCGGAATTTTGCCTAGTCTTGATCTAGAACATTCGCTATCAGAATCGGTGCTTTGATGCTCATTTACATTGAAATCAGGATCCCCATGGCCTAAAATATCATAATCAGAATTTTCTGAACTGCCAAAGTCGTGCAAACACTTGAAGCTTTTCTTGCTACCTAGTGGGTGGTTGGCAGGTGATCTGGTGTGGGTTGCTCCTTCTTTCCTATCAAAGATCTATCGTCCTGATCTCTCTTCCTTCTTTTTTTGTGTTTGTTACTCTCTTGTAACACCTAATTTTCGACCTTATTGTGTTGCAACTGCCGTAAAACTTACTAAAACTAAACGTGGTGCCATCGTACTGACAAAGTGTTGCAAGAACAGACACCAGTCAGAGAGACGAAAGTAGGGTCTCTGTGTGACTAACTTTCCTCACGGGTCGATAACTCAAAACGTTTCAGCTAATTCCGGTGAAACTTCGCATGAAACAAAACAAAGGTCGGCTGCACCATAAGAGAGCGTTCACCCAGCATTCGCGCGCGTACTTTGTCGAGGAGAAAACGTGAAACTTGTGTTCGCAGGGGGTGCCTGAACCGCCTCTCGGGGAAATATTGGTGCTCGCAAATGTTGCGTGCACCGTCTCCAGTGAGTTAATTCATAATTTTCATTTGTTTACTTGAAAGAAAGTAGTTGAACATATAAGTGAAGTCTGTTAGAATTCTAATAAAAATAAAGCAGTGCAAACAAAGATCAGATAGAGGCTAGATAGGCCCTATTGAAGGAAAAGAAAATGAAATGTGTAAAATACTTCTAGACAGCAAAAGAATGTTACAAAAAATCCTCTCCCAACATAGCAGAACAGTTCAGTTTCTCTCCACATCACTTTCTGTTAGTTGAATGAACATTTCCTCAGTCTTCCTCAGCGGTGTCCTTGATAGTAGACAGCTTGCGAGGAGCAGGGCGAGGACGATTTCCCTCTGTAATATGCACAATCAGAATAATTGACACTTTTATGTCTAATATGTTTTGACCTACTAGTGTGCAGAAATAAAAGCTTTCAAGCTTGAAAAGCAGCAATTTCTATGAATTCAGCGGTAGTGCGTTTTATCTCTCTGACCCCAATCAGTTTGTACCGACAGCCATTTCCTACTAGTGTTATCCAGTGATCTACATGCTTTTAGTAACCACCCCAACTTTACCTTGGAATCTAAGTCATCTTCATGTTTCTCCATGTTCTGGGGATTTTTTAACATTTCCACATTTAACCTACATTTCAAATCATGAAAGTTCTAATTACAACTTGAAAGAAATTATGTCTGGTTCACTTACAGAAGCCAACAATATCAGAGGAAGGTTGAGATGTTTAACTTCTCCAGACCCAAATATGAGGAAACATCAATGCTATCTCACCTTGCTTCCCTTGTATTTTCTTGAATACCTGTCCCAACTCAGAATTTGCGTCTATTGTGCGGTCATCATCAAAAGCAGAGAGGTCATCTTCACTTCGAGCTTTCTTCATCTTGGACTGAATAAGAAAAAAAATAATTCTGAATCCTAGTGTTCTCCTACACCATTTTCAATGTTCTAAAGACACTGATAAGAAAAAATGACTTCTATATCTTCTTTCTCTAAGTCTTAAAAAATCTTTAAAATGCTAACTGTTAAAGTTTAGTGTCAGCAAAGAAGTAGTTTTATCCTGTACAGACAACTTTTTTTCCTGACACATTTTTGTCTGTTCTTATGATGCTTTGTTGTTCTGATCATAAAAGAAAACAATAGGGTCTTAAATCAGATTAAGGGGGCTCTCGTGGCCTAGAGGTTAAGGTGTTGACCTCTCATTCAAAGGTCCCGAGTTCGAGTCCGGGTAGCGACCGACAAATTTTCTTCTCTAAAATTGTCTCCTTTCACCTCCATTCCTGCTCTATAGCAATATATTCCGTCGTCTGCTTTCGTCTCCTCTTTCTGCCCCCACCCCCTCACCTCCTTTGCCCCCTCCACTGGGATCCTGACTCTTTCTGCAGCCTTTCTACTGCTACTCCTTGAATCCTTCTTACAGCTGTCTTTCTGCCACACACCTGATCTTCTGGTAGGAAAGATCTACATCTAGCCTTCTCAGACAAGGACGAAAAATCTCGGAGGGCCCGTGTGCAACTTGCACACATTAAAGATCCCTTGGTGGTCTAAAATCGATAAGAGTAGGCTTCGGCTGCCACCCGGGCAAAATTTAAAATTTCCTACCAACTAAAAGTATTATTAGGTGTGTCCTGCGCGCTCATATGACCTTATGCAGTAGCGAGCGCCGTAAAACACTTACCAACAAAACCCCCAAAAAATCAGATTATATGAATAACTTTCAGTTGTTGGAAATCCATTTTGTTATGTATTCAACTTACCAAAATTCCCTGCAGTTCTTGCATAGCACTACTGTCCTCATCTTCAGGACAAGATTTCTGAAAAGAGATTTAACAATTGGCCATGATATAGCAGTATCATAAAGCTTTTCTTGTCACATGAAAGTAGACTGCTGACAACATAACAAACACGTTTTTTAATTCTTGGAGTCAAGAAAAGCAATAGATAGCCCTTTTTTTAGGGGCAGATCGGCTAACGAGCATCAGGACCAACTCGATTTCAATGAAGTGGTATGCCTTTGTGATATTGTCAAGTCAGTTCTTTTGGATGCAAATTGTCGGAGCCTGGGGTTCCCAACACATTTTTGTAATTTTTCACTATGGACCATCCAGTTTTCGATATTTCCGGGCCGCCTTGATAGTTGAAACAGACTTTGTGCTGCAGAAGCTAGAGAGGTGAGCAGAGAAAGTCTGATTCCCTGTAAGGATTTCTCTGTTCACATCCACCCCTTGGCGCTCATATGACCTTATGCAGTTGCGAGCGCCGTAAATCCTCTACTAAAAATAAAAACTAAAAACCATCCAGTTTTGCCTGTGAAGACACTTTACCAGGGTAAGCCATTTCACAAATCAAAATCATCAATACACTAAAAGTAAAACTTACTTTTTTTTCACACAAGGGGTGACAGTATAACTCGGATGGGGAAATTGAAACAAAGGAGGAAAACGGAGGTATACCAAGTGGCAGAAAGTAAATCCTATCAATGGGATGCATTGCTGAAAGTCTACATATGCGTTTGACAAACCTTTACCAGGCGTCTGAGGAGAGAAGTCAACTGACATGATGCAGGCCAGGTTGTAAAGGGGAAATCAAAATCAAGATGACAAACAAAAATAAGAAAATTATCGAAAAGTAGCAGGACAAGGTATGAAGTCTCCCAACTATCTTCTTCAACAGAAATACAGTAAGGACACTTGAAGAGAGGGAAGAGAGGGCCACACAATTATGCTGATGGAGCTTTTTTGATGCAAGAAGATAAACATTCAAAGTAAACCAAATTAAAAGAAAAAACACATCAATATAGCATCATGCATACAGTCCAGATGGAAGCTTGGCAAAAAGTCAAAGACATGCCATGCCACCTACTCAGCATTGCGTTTAAAGAAAAGAGGCTGCAGAAACTGTCCCGTACAAAAACCTTTCTGTTCACCTTTCTAAAAAGTAATAAAGCCTGCAATGTAAACAAAAAATATTGTAGCTATGGGGCACACAGGGGTAGTGAAAATTATGAAAAGAAAAAAGGGTGCATGTTTTATGAAAAAAATGAAATACACGTGGAGGGTAGGCTTAGTTTGTACTGATACAAACAAAGGTAGAGAGGGACACTCACAGTAAAACTGGTAACATTGTGGCTCTTTTTGTAAGTAAGACAAACCTAGTTTTCTAAAGTTCACAACCCTTTTGGTGTATCACAGTGGCTTATTCTAAAACTTTCGGTGTTTCTGCTAAAGCTTGAAAGAAGCTTATATCACAGTGAACCTCTGACAAGTTCCTGAGGTCTGACCTTCAACTTCGCTGTATCACAGATTTCGGTGAAAGCAAGATCGGACCAGTAAAAGCATTTTACATCGACAAAACTGTATGGACATCATTGTGCCTGCAACAATGTGTACACAACAAAACCAGCATTTTTTTGGGGCCCTTTTCAATTTAGTCTGTCAGCTATAGTTTTACTTAAATAAAAGACATGTTATTCTTTTGCTTGATGCGATCGTGAACAGGTGGGACTAGCATGGCCCATGGCTAACATTGAGAGCTGAAGTGATGTCAAAGTTATCTCGGTTTAAATGCACAGAAGTGATGTCAAAGTTATCTTGGTTTAAAAGCACAATGTGTAAAATTTGGCTCATATCAAAAGTAGGCTTTATTACACAACAGATTCTTAAATCTATTATTAGCATGTTTTTGGGTATTCTCACTTTTCCTAAGTGAACTTTTTACTCTCTAAAAACCAACTGAGATATGACACAACATAAGGAAAAGCTCATTAAGTTACATGCCACTTTGCATGATTCTGCTACAGCAAGTCTTGAAAGCCAGAAAGGTGATTCCACATACCCCATACCCGTCTCTCCAACCCACACATGCAAAGAATTATTCCCAGCACTGTTTACTGCCTGCATATAAAACTTTTGACAATGATGTTTCTACAAACAAGGTAACCATCCATGCCAAGTGTCTTCCCAATGTGAGCGTAAGGTGAGGTGGGTCCGAGATTGCTCATCCAAAGATTTGTTCAATATCACATGCATGGCTGATTTTATAGAAATACAAAAACAAGGACTCTTTTTCCTTATGCTGACTTAGGTATCATTCACTTCGATGTAATTCAATGCTAAGTTCATTGCCTTCAAAAAAAAATTCTTACGCAAAGCAAAGCTGTGAAATGGAAATTCATTCAACGTCTACTTTTTTGCACACAAAAAAAACAAGCTCGACGGGATAAATAAGGCAAATACTTTCTTCTCACCTCTCCAATAATTCCCTCAGGCAGAGAGAATTTCCTTGAATCCTGATGGGTATTGATTTATTTGTGTGATCAGTTAAAGAGGAGACATATATGCAATAAAGAGAAGGAAAGCAGAGGGAAATAAAAACTTAAAACCTTCAAATGAACCTTAAAGCCCAAGTAATATTTACAAAATACAGGAACGAGGAAAATAGTTTTTTCCTTTAACTGGACAAATTCAGTATTTTGTACCACCTCAATGCTTTTCATGCAAACATTACAGAATTCCTCAAGAAATGAGCATGCCCTGCACAATGTAGAGCCTCGGATTGTTCTGTAATTTCAACATACTCATCCAAATTTCTTTTTTTGTATATTCCATTATTCTTAACCTATTCTACACTGACTAACTGGGTATATTAAACAATTTACCGTTCTTTTCTTTAAAACAGGCCTGAGAGCTATGTTGCCATCTTTGATCCTCTTCATCATGTCATCCACAGCTGCTGTATAGTTTGCATTGACTTCTGCTCCTCCAAGACCCACTGAAAACAATGAGCAAGACCTATTATTTCAGTAAAGACAGGGCTGAATAGAGAACAAGGTTGTATCATAATCAGCACAGTATCCATTTTATAAAATGGAAAAAAGTCTCTGATTATTTTGACAAATCCTAATAACACATTATCAAAGCATTTAAAACCACTTTTTTTACACTTACATCGTTTTTGGACCAGCTCTTTCTGCTTCTTCCGTCCAGTAATCTTGGAGAGGAACCTGTGGAAGTGGCAATGTAATCTTGATGTGTGAATGTGAAAACTAACTCTCTCTCTCCCTTGCTCCCTCCCTCGCTCCCTCCCTCGCTCCCTCTCTCCCTCTCTCTCTCTCTCTCCCACATGGCATTTGTATTGTTGGAATCAAAACAAGACAAATCGACAAAAATATATTCCTATTCTAGCCAGCAAATGAGCTAAACACTTATCTGCTTTCAAATAATGAAAATAATTAGAAGTAACAAAAATCAAATAGAGATGTACACCACTCTCTCTCTCCATAACTGCCTACTTCATCATACCTTCACTGTTAAGTTCAGCTTAGAAAGAGAAGTCAGTTCTATTTGTCAGTCAGAAATTTTAAGCATTTGGCAGTGACAGCTTTATAAGAGAGTCAACTACTAAATGATCTAAACATCATTTATGTGCCCACTGACTGTCTGACATCAGCATAAGCGTAACACGTTCTCCAAGTACATACCCGCCAGTTTTAGCTGTTGGCAGGGGGGGTGGAGGAGGGGGAGGGGGTGGTGGTGGGGCTGTCAAGGCCGTTTCGTATTTTTTCTCCAAGTCAGCATCTGTGAATAACAAAAGACACAGGGTTAAGTATGACGTTTTAACGAAAACTGGAATAGATATTCAGAAATGCATTACCTTTTTTAATTTAAAAGAATAGGAAATGTTGCACAATCTATGAGGATATCACTACAGGAAGAGACACTCAGAGAAGAGGCTGAAACCAAAACAAATGTAGTAACTTCTTTTATGATGCTTCATTAGATCACTAGAGTGTCTGTTTTAAGATCTTCCACCCATTGTGCGATTGACTTTCACATGTACAGCCTTTTCCCTAATAAATGCCTGTTCCTCACCAGTCAGGCAACTGCATATCATTTTTGAAGGTACTCTAACTCACATTTATTGAGCATAATTTCTTCATCTTAGAGAAGGGATTAAATTAGAATATTGCCAGAGCAGACAGCCAGAACTGACCCACTCTGTCTTTATTTTTACTAGGAAGGTATGTAAAACCTGATAATTTATTCCCGATTCCCCTATTTAAAAAAAGTTATCAACTAACCAAGCTTGTTGAAAAAAACTTGATTCAAACACAAATGCAGCTTGCTAAGTGGTGTGGAGACATTATAAGGTGTCTTTTTATACCTCAAAGCAGGTGAGTATTTTCGAAAAAGAAATACGTTGCTTATAAATGGTAGTAACTTAATTCTATACTAGCAGCCAAGGCTACTCTCAAAGAAGCCTCGTCACACAGAATTGGGAGCAGATTTTTCTGAAACTGTACAACGAAAGTGAAAATAAAGAAAACCAAATTTATGTGAACTTTTTAAAAAGGGGGAGGTGGAGCTTAACTCATTCGCTACGAATTGTTTTCGGCTGGTGGATGAATTTTTTTTGGGAGGGCGAAATGAGATGGTGACTAGTGTGCAGTTCACAGGTCTTTGGGGCCACATATTCAAATAAATATCAACATATCATATACCAACATTTTCAGTATGGATTGTAGAATACACCTGTAATGTTTATTTGTGTATTTTTCAACTTTGGTTCCTGTAAGAGGCGATTACGCATCACAATTTTGCTTGGAATCAGATAAAATTTTAAAAGATAAAGTTAATAATCTTTGGTGAAACTCAAAAAATATGTTTGCACCTAGTCAAATGATGCATAAAAATAACCATAAATGAATATAGAACAGGAAAATCTTGAAAAATTTGCAGTTATTTACATACATTCCCTAAAATCTGTACATTTGGATCATAACATCGCATATTGAAAATTAAAATTAAAAAATTTTGAAAAAAGGACAAGATGCATTCGCAAACAGAAAAAAACACTCGTATCTCATATGAAATTATTCAGAATTGCATTTGTAATAAACCTATACATGTCTTGAGTGGTAGGCCCTACTTTTTGTGTAATTTCACCAAAAAATATTGATTTCGGGAAGAATAAAAATATTTTGACAATTTAGATCAAGACCTAGATTCTAGATCTAGGTCTAGCACTGAAAAATATTGATTTCTCAATAAGTTACAGATCACTGGCAGAGTCCAATAGTATCAATATTCTAAAGAAGAGTCCTACATTTCTTCAGCGAGCAAAATAATGATACATTTGGTTGTATAAAAGTACTAAGACTGGTGTCTGGGCTATAATTTGGGCATCGCGATAAAACAAAGTCGCATAAACTTCTAAATTGCGTTTCAAAACTGAAACAAAACTTCTGATTTTCGGTGAAAACGCTTGACCCAGAAGTCAACGTTATATTATAACCTTCATTTTAACATGGATATGTGGATTGGAATAAAATCTAAGCTAGAATTATAGGTCCGTTCTCGAGCCGTTGGGGGCGGCATGGCGTACAGAAGACACTTTAGCTGAGCCGCTGCCCACGGCTCCGCGTAGCGAATGAGTTAAAGCAAAGAAGGGAAATGGAATAATCAATGTAACCTTGTTCATTCGCGAAATACTGACAGATCAAATTATATGAATTTGGAAAGATAAGCAAAGTGGTCAGCAATGATGACAGAGAAAGAATGACTTTTGTTACAATGATTAGTTATAGCTGTAGGTAATCGCTGTAGAAGGCATTGACAAGATTAGTAAAATTTCCAACTTAATCAACGATATACTGTATCTGTCATCAGCCCCACAAAAAGTCGGTGGTAGCAAATTTGGGGTCCAGTGTCTTTCCTAGCTATTGTTTACTTTTTTTAAACCACTGTCGGACTAGCAAACCCTCTTTAAATCAACATATTTGTTTTCTATTCAAACACCAGTGTTTGCTCTTCCTCTCCACAGCATATCAAATTATTTAGTCTGAGGAGATATCCTCTGAAAGATAATGATCTATCAAAGCAGAAGAAAGCAAAAGGTTAGTTTCTTTCCAAAATTCCATTCCACTGGCTATCCCCGTTGTTTAGACACTGATCTGTTGACCTTTCAGACAACACTTTAGATCAAAAGAGTCAAGGCTTATTCGCTCTCAAAAATGCATTTTATTTGGAAAAGTACAAAGTGGCTTACATTTATCTAGGAGAGATGAGTACTGAGAGTGCAGTTCTTCAGTGGATTTTTCTGCTGTCACAAGTCTTTGTTGCAAGGAGTCACATTCTGTGGTCAGTTGTGCATTCTCTGCTTCCAACTCCTGCAGACTGGCCTCCCCTTTTACAGCTGTCAGCTCTTCTTTCAGAGCATTAACCTACACCAGCAGCATGACAAAACCTTCATGAATATCCAAACAATCAGAATCTGATCAAAGTACAGTCAAAATTCTCCAAGACGGCCCCCTATTGTCGAGGAGAAAAGTGGTTGTCTTAGACAGGTGGACACCTCGGACACTGTTATTATAATGTTAAAATAGTGCAAGGGGGAAGGGGGGGGGGGGGGGGGGATAGAAAGCTGTCATTTGTACAGGTGGTTGTCATAGACAGGTGGCTGTTACAGCAGGTTCAACTGTACTGACATTAGAATTTCATCCAAGAAATACAGTCACATTCAATATGCTAGAGTTAAAGTTTAAAAAAAATAAAAATACCACATTGCAGACATTAATTCATCTCTCTAGGACTGAGAGTTTAAGGCTGTCTGAGATGCAGCTTCTCTTATAGCGCAACACACTAGACTCCATGCTCACAGACCAAACTAAATTTTGAGCTTTATGCCACAGTCAGACTTCTAAAACAGAGAAGTAAGAGAATAACTGTTAGTAACATTGATATCACATATCTTAATCTCCAAGATGAATCACAAGATCAATGCTCGCATTTGTTCGCATTCTCATGTATAAACTCGACATCATCATACCAAAAGAATAAATGTGTTCACAGTATAGCAGTCTCTGCGTAAGATCCCGGTGCTTGGGAGCAATGAAAATGGGGAATCTTAGGTGAACAGGATCTTAACCGACACACCAAGGAAAAAATCTACGGCCCACAACTGGTAAAATTGAACTGATGTGAACCCTGGGTAGGTTTATGGCATATGGCAAGTAAAGAGTGGTCAACTTTGATGATCAATCACAGTGGCATGAGGCATGCCATTTTCACTTATTATCCTATCGCAAGTCTCAAGACCTACCCTGATCTAGTCACCCCTCCACTTTACCTGTTCAAAACTTATAGCTTTCCATCTCTGACTGAGTTCCCCCACCTTTTACGCACCATTTATTAAGTTATGACCACACCAATTAAAAATTCAGTTTGTCTCGCAAATTTGGGAGTAGAGACAACTGCTGCAGTGGTCAGGGAAGAGTTCATAGTTCGATGTGATCCTGCCTGGAGTGAACTTGTTGGCCCTACCCACCCTACGAGTGATGTAAGTTTTGATGGAGAGCTCAGATACTAGTGCCATATTTGGGGAAAACAAACGCATTGGAGCTAGTGCCATATTTGGGGAAAACTAACGCATCGATCACTTCACACCTCTCTGTGATCCCACCGGCGCAAACAATGTACTGTTTCATCGAGTTTTACAATGCTTATGTTATCCCATTCATGAGAGTGGCTGATCTTTGACACAGCGGGCAGTGCAATGATCTCAACTTTTCACTTTTGGTCGATCGACTGTGCACGCTTGCTTTTTTGGTCCGTAAATTATTATCTAAAATGCGATGATCTTAGCCAAATGTAGACCTTCAGAGTGAATCAGAGCGGGATCTTAGGGGTGACTTTTGTATAGTAAAAATTATGTTTTCTTAAAACAGCAGGATCTTAAGCAAACCAGGATTGAAAGCCGTGGGATCTTAGGCGGAGACTACTGTATTTTTTAAAATCTTACCCAAAATGGATGAGAACCTTTTAATTTTACATCAATCTACTTTATTATACCAGTGTGTGGAGGAATATGCGCACTGAGTGAAAGAATTAAAGTCAAGCAGGACAGCCAAGAAGAAACAGGTAACACAACCATTACGTAATGACTGACCTGTTGTTCTGACTCGGCTTTGAGTTTTTCCAGACTGGTTGTAAGTTCTTCCACCTGGATCAGCGCTTCCATGAGCCTCTTATCCCCTGCCACTGGGGCCATCAACATAGCACTCTGGCGCCGGGCTGCCTCTCGCTCTGCATACAACTGCATTGAGGAAGAATGTGTAATGTGCCCTCCAATAAAATGATAAGAAGCATACATTTGATGGTAAAATGCTTTAGACATTGTATAAAAGAAACATACTTTTGTACTCATATCAAATATCAAAGACTTATGACCTATAATAATCAAATATAAACCTGCTTTAAAAATGTACTTTTAGAAAATCAAATACAGAAAACGCTTATAACATTACAGTGATTGAGGTTAGGGGAGATGATCTATGAAAGGTCTATTGTCCCAAATATTTCTCACAGAAGATATCTCTTTTGGCCCTGTTCTTTTAAAAAGCCATTAGACAACTATCAGCGCACCAAAGTGATCAACATAATTTCATGGTCAATGTAATTATATCACAAGATATATGCATTACAGTTCCTGATCGGATTTAAGGCATGACCAATTCATTGTCAGAATGGGATTACATAACTATAATACAAAGCCTCTCCGACCTTTTAGTCTTTGGAATGTTGAGGGCTAAACTTCAGACATGGGGTAAAAATTACATATGGCTTGTAGCCCATCAAAACATTTGGGGGAACATAAACTACTTTGGAAATATAAGAAAACAATGAGATCTGGATGCAAAAGAAAATACCAATGAGTTGTTGCAGAAATGTTCTTTTTCAGGATAGGCATGCCATAGAGCTTACTGTCTGTACATATACATTTTTCAGTTGGGAAACATTGCCTTATAAATTTCTCGCCTATACGTGACCCCCTATTCATTTGAGGATGTGGTCACGAAAATCTTTCTTCCAACTTACAGACACATATGACAAAAAAAGGGACACTTGAATGAGCAAAACGGAATTTAGAGAGATCCAACAGATGAGTTCAAAGTAAGATGTTTGTATTCTTTGTAGTGCTGGCATTCAGGAGTTCTCATCAGACATTATTGAGAGTTCTTGTCATTGCTCTAATAACAAATTGAGATGGTTTATTACCTACATCACGCCATCAGAAGCAGGGCTGCTCTAAAACTAGAGAATGTCTCTTGTCCAGTCATTTGTATTGGTCTTCTTACCTTTGTCATATAGACATCTATCTACTTTAAGCTTGATTAATGTTTTGATATCTACAAGGAAAAAAACTCTTGACACTCACATTCTGTGCTAATTTCAGAGCTGTATTTCTCTCTAATATTTCCTTCTCAAAATGGTCCTGTAGTGATGCATGTTCTTCGACGGCAGCCTCTGAAGTTTGAGCCAACAATTGCAGAGTTTTCTCTTGACGTCCCAGAGCAACTTTTGTTTGCTGAAGTTCTTGTTTGTAAACCTCAATCTGAAGGAGTATTCAGAGAAAGCCATGTTGCACATATGCAAAAAAGCATTTCACAGGGGTGCAATAAAACTACCATATCACTGAAATATCTATCACCTCCCTTTCCTTTTCAACATTATCCCATTTTATTAAACATTTGCAGAGTGAACATATTTCTTTACTCTTTATGTTCTTTGTATATAGATGAAGTAGATCATTGTCCATTATTACAGATAAAGAGTCCAAAAACAAAATGAGGAATAAAACCTGCACATTCTTGAAATGTCAGTTACATACTCCTGTTCAATAAAACACTGTTGCAATTTTTTAAAATTGATTGATAGCGAAAAAAATAAATATGAGTTATAAGGCCACATTCAATCCTTCATCAAAAATTCAACTAATACAACAACTTGTTCCTTTTTCTTGAGGTGGGCCAATGGTGCGAGTAAAAACCAATACAGTAAGTTTATTCAAAAGCAGGGACATCAGACCTAATGTTCATCTTCCATGTGACAGGCCCAAGTGGAATGAGAGAAGTTCAAAGCTCTTTTAAAAGAAGTAAGCTACATTTTTAATGAGAATCTGACTATGGTAACTGGCACAGCAGTCCAGCCTGCTACAGCAGAGCCAGAAGAGTGCCCCTTTTTCTCAACAGATATAAAAATTTTGAATATATTTACTTTAACCCTATCTGTATGTCCTGTTTTACTATCGTATCCATGCGACGTGGGGAACTCTGTGCCATCACTTTCAAAGAGGAAATTTATTTGTTAATCCGATCCGTACGCTTTGCATAGCAGTCTGTCAAAATGATTTTTTTAGAAATACTGAAAGTTTTAAAGAGATCTTCGTACTAAAAGTATTCTAAAATGTGAAGAATACAATCCTGGGGGTACAAAATGACCCCAGGGCGTACAGATAGGGTTAAAAGTCACCGCAACTCACCTTTGCTCTAAGTTGGGCAGTCTGCGCCTTCTCATTATGATAATCTTCATTGAGTTCTTTCATCTGAACACTTAGAGAACTTTTGACATCTTCCAGTTCTGAAAATAATTATAAAGGGCAACCTTTATTTAACTCAACAATGGTTAAACCTCTTCTTCATAGTCTGTAAACTACGACAACACTAAAAGACCACTTAGAGAAGAAAATATAAGAACCTGGTTGCCAGGCAGTTATTTGACCACATTTGAGATCTACTTTACTTTACTTTTACTTTTTCACCCTCTGTTGCCGTTAAGCGTCGAGGGGAGATGCAGTTTTCTATGGTAGGCCAGCTCCGCTGCTCTTTCAGTTGTGATGTTATATTTTCTTAGGGTTTCCTTGATACCCTCGAGCCTGGCTGGTTAGGTGACATGCATAACAGGTGGCCAAACCATTTTATCTTCTGTCTTTCTATGTAACGCAGGCAGGACTCAGTGCCGATAGCTGCTCTTACTTCTTCATTTCTCTGCCTGTCTCGTCTTGTGATGTTAAGGGTTTTGAGATCAACAATTAATTATTCATGAAAAGTTTAAAATCCCATGGGCTCATATATATTCTTGTATCCAGTCCTGGGTGTAATGTCCATTACCATTAGGCAAACCATCTCTATTGCCTTAGTAATTAGGAAACCTGGCAATGGTAACCACTGGCAACTCGTAACCAAGCCAAGTAAGTGGTTACATAATTGTTGTCTTAGATACAATCGTCATAGAATCTAGAAAAGAGAAGTTTCAGTAATAAAGCGTACGTCCACCCGTGCAGTCATGTATCCTGCTGCTTTCAAATTCTGTCTAGATCTAGATGTTGTGATTGTGATGTCCCGACAGTACACTGAGATAGCGTCCCATGATTTCACAATGACTTCCACGGAAAAGCTGATTCACAAAGTTACATTTTAGTCTCCATGCTCTGATGAAAGGAAATACAAGAAAAGAACTTGCCCTATGTATTGAACTCATGTTATATTTACTTTAATCACAGTGGGATGTAACTTCGTGTGTCTTGTGTGTAGGTATGATTATTTCATCTTGTGATGCTAATATGGTGTTTCTTCTGTAAATTTTGTCATGATAGTATTTGTGAGTCACTTGAATTATTGTAAAAACTGCAGCCTTCAAAGTCAGTCACAATAAAGGAACCAGTTAATAAACAGACTGAAACTGAAACTCAACAACATCACTGTCTCCAATTGTTTTCGTGAGAATCTAAAGAGTTGTCTCAAAATGAGCCACTTATGCAACAATCTCAGTAACCCAGAATAAGTCAAATTTTCTCCTTCTGCTTCTCACCAAAGATTTGTTGATTCAGCTTTTTAATGTACTCATTCTCTTCAGCACTCTCTGTAGCATCATCATCAATGTTGATGTCCACAAGACTTGGCCCTGTCATCTTGTCAAGCAACATCTGGCTCTGACGTTTCAAGACCTTGTTCCGAGAATTAATCTGAAATGATTACAAGAAAGTAAAAAAATATCTCTCACAGAAGGTAGCTCAAACAACAACGTAATGCATGAGAGTAGAAAGTGGTGAGAGTTAGAAGGGTGAATGAAATAAGAAAAGGTTCGAGACATATAATGTGAGATTGGGAGGGGGGGGGGGGTAATAAATGTACAGAAAGAGGACAGAGAGACAAGTTGAATGATGATAAAACAGAAGTCATTCTGGCAGGCAATGCAAAGTCTGTTAAAGAGGTCGACCACGATCACATGATAATTGGTGATGCGAAAATTGCATTTTCAAGAAAAGTTAAGAATCTTGGCATCTTTTTTATTCCAGTTTGTCAATGTCGGCTGAGGTAAATCAACTGATCAGCTGAATGTATTTAAAAATAAGAAAAATTAGTAAAATACGTCATCTGATCAATACTAAGTATATTGCTTTACAAATAATTACTAGCTTAATTTTATAAAAACTCGATTATTGTAACTCCTTGTTATCAGGAATATCACAGGAGAAAGTTAAAAGACTTCAAACTGTCCAAAACAATGCTGCACGATTAGTTTTACGGAAAAGAAAGCGAGACTCTGCTAAACCTCTTTTACAGACATTGCATTGGCTTCCTGTTGAGAAAAGAATTGTGTACATGTTGGTCACCCTATGTCACAAATGTTTGAATGATAATGCACCATCATATTTATCAAATCCGTTAAGACTACATTCCAACTCGCAGTTTAAGGTCATCAGCTGACAAAAAGAAAATTATTTTACCATCTCATCATCATCCGGTGCCTTGCCGACTGGCGTGGGCGATCATGGACCTCCACTTCCATCTGTCTTTCGAAGCAGCAATGGTGTCTGTTGTTCTTGCTGCTCCCAGCCATGTTGTCATCTTGTCCAGTATCTTTTCCCTCTGTCTGCCTCTACCTCTTTTTCCATCAAACTTTCCTGTTGTTACAATGTTCTCTAATGCTTCTTTCCGCATTGTGTGTCCGAAAAAATTTGCCTGTCGTTTTCTTATATTCGTGATAAGTTGTTTTCTATAATTTGCTTCAACCAGGACTTCTTCATTTGTTTTTCTAGCTGTCCATGGGATACGTAGCATGCGTCTCAAGAACCACAACTCTGCCGCAACAATTCTTCTTTCCAGCTGTTTATTGATTGTCCATGCTTCGCACCCGTATAATAGGATTGGCTCGATGTAACTTTTCATTACTCTTTTCCTCATTTCCAGTGACAGATTGATGTTTGTTAGTATCTGTTTCATCTTGTGGAAGGTTGCTTTTGCTTGGCAAATGCGGCTTTTAATTTCGGTGTGACATCTACCATCTGATGATATAATGGTCCCCAAATATTTAAAATGTTGTACTTGCTTCAGGGTGGTATCATTGATTTTGATATTGCATGTTGGGATTGGAGTATTTCTGCTTATCACCATCGTTTCGGTTTTCTTGATGTTTATGTTTAAGCCCATGTTGTCACTCTCTTGTACGATGACATTTAATAGATTCTGCAGGTGTTCTTTATCTTAGATTTTACCATCTATGAAACTTAAAACAACAGGTGAAAGGGCATTTGAATACCAATAAGGCCCCAAGATCTGGAATGCTTTACCAAGTATTGTAAGAGAAATCAAATCTTTTGATTCATTCAAATGTCAGCTGAAGTCATTTCTGTTTTCAAAATAATAAGATGAATATTAGGAGTAATTTTGTTTCAGTCAAAACACGTTTTATGTTACTGTTGTATGTTGTACTGTATTGTAAAGCGCTCAGAGCCTGTGTACTTAAATCGGGGTGGAGCGCTATATAAATGTCATTTATTATTATTATCATTACTTGAACATGCACATACAGAGAAATAGAGAGAGGCAAGGCTGAACAATCAAAAGCAAGTGCACAGGCAAATTGAAATTATGGACTTGCATGATGGACTATGTTTTATGAAAGGAAATCTTGTTCCAGAAGAAGAAGAAAAATATAAGCTTTAGACCACTTATTATGCCCTATTTATAAATTTAACTTTCAATCGAAAGTACAAAAAAGTATAAATAATACAGATCCAGCTATTTGTACAAATTAAACAAGGTAATAAATTCATACACACCACTGTGGTAGTCACAGTGCAGGGCCTTTTAGTGACTAGGGTAAATGCCTTGTTCAAAAACACACTCTTATAAGGTAATATCATCAATGTGATTATGAAAGCCTTCTTGAAATGAACAGAATATCAAGATCTGATAATTTGTTTGAAATTTATGAAGGAGACACAGGATTCGTGAACTGATTACTTTTTAAACAAGGCGTTAGAAATACAGTTCATATTACACAACAGCCACAACCACTCGCTACAGCAGCTAATAAATCATACAGAATGTTAATTTCAGTCTATGACTAGCAAAGCAAAATGAGATTGTGGCTCTTTGTTGAACTAACCTATATAATGAATGTAACAAATACAAAGTAATATCACATTATGAATCTCTAAATCATTATCTTAATTTGACAGCAACAAAGCTAAAATTGATCCTCGTCACACCATAAAACACAAGATCTATTATATTCCAAAGAATATTAATCTATTACGTATATATCATTATATTCATAAAATAAATGTCATTTGTAAGAAGGGACAAACCTTGGTCGCATAATTCTCTGCCTCATACTGGCACCTGATTGCCGATTCATATTTCTCCCGTAGAGCTTTGTATTCCATGGAGACAGGGCCCAGAACTGTTAGGATAAACATTTTACAGGTGTTACAACCTTGTATATTTTGGCAATCTCTGAAACTTTCACAAAACTTAATTTACACTTTTGCATTCATTTTAGGAAAATGAAGTAAATAAAATGTATGCTCTCTACTAGGGCTGCATGCTTGACTTCTAATGTTGCATATTTGCTGACTGGTGTACAATTATAACACCTTTAACTATCAAAAAGGTATTATTTATCTTATCCGTAGACTTTTAACTTGGTAAAAAGAGCTTATACAAAAACCTATGCTTCAATATGTATTTTCTACCTTTTCCAACAATTTCCACAGCTTTCATGTATTACGGGCTAACAAATTACAATGGTGAAAGGCTGTCGCACAGTCATGGAATAACATACTTTTCAGAGTTAAGTCCAAAAACAATTCTCTTTAACTTAGAGGGTGTAAAAGTGTTATTCCTAACATGTAAGTTACTTTTTCAAACTTTTGCAAACATCAAATTGCAGTTAGCAACACTTTACATGAATTTTTTTTTTCAGAAACAACAAGTATACTGTGTTCCTCTACAGCTGCGAAACTTGGAAGACAACAAAGACAGTACTGAATAAAGTCCAGACTGTCATCAACAGATGTATGAGGAGTATTCTAAGAATTCAGTGGCAGGATAGAATAAGAAATGAAGAGCTGTGGGAAAGGACAGGACAAAAGGATATAGAAGCAGAAATTGGACTAAGAAAGTGGAGACGGATGGGACACACCTTAAGAAAGTCCAGAGGAAACATCACAAGACAGTCATTACAGTGGAACCCACAGGGAGCACGAGGCAGGGGTAGACCTTGGGAAACATGGAGGAGATGCGCAGAAAGGGACACCATATGAAAGAGATGAAGCTCATTTGGAACGAGCTTGGAAGGGTGGCCCGGGACAGAGATAAATGGAAAGAGCTTGTATGTGGCCTATACCCTGCCAGGGGTGAAAGGCATTGATGATGAAGATGATGCACTTACCATCTTTTGCTTTCTTAATTTGTTCCCCTCTGTCCTTATACTTGGTAACCAGTTCTTCATACTGAATAATAATAGTAAAATACCAATCATCACCATCATTATATATATCCTTTAACAAAACATTTAAAGTACTATATATCATTATATCTCTACAAGTACAAAAAAAAAGAAAGCTGAGGGAGTTGGGGGGGGGGGAGAGAGAGAGAGAGAGAGAGAGAGAGAGAGAGAGAGAGAGAGAGAGAGAGAGAGAGAGAGAGAGAGAGAGAGAGAGAGAGAGAGAGAGAGAGAGAGAGAGAGAGAGAGAGAGAGAGAGAGAGAGAGAGAGAGAGAGAGACAGACAGACAGACAGACAGACAGACAGACAGACAGACAGACAGACAGACAGACAGACAGACAGACAGACAGACAGACAGACGGACAGAGAGAGTACAGTGCACTTTATAAGATAAGTCTTTCTTTAATAACACTCACGTAGGCCCTATTGTCTGTTCATGTAATATGATAACTAGTGTAAATATTGCTCTGAGAAGGCTGTTTCTATATTTTCACAACTGCCATGGAAACTGCATTTATTCACAGCTGTGTTTGCTGAACCAAAAGTTTTGAAATTTGTACTAAATTCAATTTTCTGTTTTACTTGCTCTTGATTGCAGGTACAGTGGAAACCTGATATAACAGGGATGGTGGGAGTAGAGAAAATGTCCTGTTATATCCGATCTCTGTTAAATCAGAAATGCAAGGAAAGTAAGCATTTGTGGACTAATCCAGCCGTACTTTTTCATGGGTAGTTTCCCTTGCCACAAGTACCCATGAACAGAAGGTTTGGCACAAACTTTCTCCTTGCCTCCTTAAACCACATCAGAAGAGCTTGGCCCACAGCATCTGCATCGGGCAGTCTCATCTTCTTTCGATCCAGAGCAAACTTTCCATTGGAGTTTGCTGCCACTATCTTCTCTCTATTTCTCTCTATCCTTGATAATGGTGTGAATCGACCCTTGTGGAATGTCTAACTGACGACAAATCTCTGCCAGTGGAGTTTGCTTTTTGTCAACAGTCTGGATTATTTCGTATATTTGTCAATTGAAAGGTATTTTCTTTTGCGCTTGACATCGTTGGTGACACATTACACGTGCGTGTTGCTAGGTTTCGGGCTAGATCGAGGTCTGCAGCACACCGCAGCCCTCTCTCGCTTCACACACCGCGTGTGCTTGCAGTGGCATGGCTTGCGTGGGCTTGCTCCATCACTGCGTTACTCTTTCTTTTACTTTTTACACATTGTTAACGAGCCTTTGTCCCTGCTATAACCGGTTGGGCTCCGATGAGGCCCTGTTATTGCCGATAACTTTTAATAGAGACAAAGAGAAGGAAAAATCGGGGATTTTAAAAATCCCTGTTATTACCGGATCCCTGTTATTACCGGGCCTGTTATATATGGTTTCCACTGTATTTGAACTCAGCAGAAAATTGTTTTTCATGCTGTTTTCTTGATAGAATGTGGTGTTTCCCGCCTTCGATTAAAAAAAATTTTCCCCACACCTTTCAGCATAGCAAGACTTTCAGATGCTAAGAATAAGCTCACATATATTTATCTCTGGAATATTTAAGGTTATTCTAAATGATTGGAATGTTGATCACATCACTTCCCTCAGATCATGACTAACATACATCTATAGGTAAACAGTACCAGTGTCCTGCATCATTATTTGTTGCAAAAACTGATAAGCAGTGTAATTGTGTAACCAATTCAAAGGTGCCATGATAATGGCATCACAGATGCAAATAAGGAACCTGCTTTAAAAAAAATGATATCATATCTTACTTGAGTTTGATTCTTCTTGTAGTTTACCAAGAGCTCCTCGTGTTTTTCCACAACTGCAAAGTCAATTTTTTAAAAATTAATTGTTATAAAAATGACCTACAAAGCTTTGAAATTTTCTTTTCAACATCAAATTAAATTAAAGCATAAATCACTTCAGCGTCTAAACACTGTATCATATCTTTCACAATAAACTAAAAAACATTCAATCTACAAAATAAAATGGCATTTCAGCCATTTATTCAAAGCTCAGAGGATAGAGTGTATAATTACATAGCAAACAAAAAAAGGGATAGTACATAAATAAAAACAAATAATACAACATCTAAACGTTGAGCAAAACTGACTGCTCTAAAAAATGTGTTGGTCTACAGTCAATACCCTCTGAAGTTAGGAGCACCACGTATACATGACTTACAAAAAAGCATATACATAGTCTCAAAGACATTGAAACGAAAGAATTTGAGAAATTATAATAAATAATCATAACCTCACCCTTTGAAAAATTTTGGAGTAAATTTTTTTAAAGTGTTTGTTTGCTTTGTAGGGATTTTCTTGGTTCAAATGCCAGTACTGAAAGCATTGGGGAGGGATAATTTCATGCCAGCGTTCAGAAAACTAAGACGATCCGTCATGCCAGCGTTCAGAAAACTAAGACGATCCGTCTGTTTCGACTTATTTTAACTCCTTTCATCACATTTTGTTCAAAACCTAGTCCAATGAGGGGCTCAGGACATAAAATAAATGCACAGAAAACGTGTTTGGGTAATATAGTAACATACAGAGCGAAGGTATTAGCCTGGTAGAGAAGTAGAATTTCACATAGAACAAAATAAATTATGTCAAACAAAGACGAAGACTAGATAAATTTATTTTGAGACTCATAATTATACAGCAAAGAAAAAGGAGCACCACATCACCGAAAAAAAAATTATGAGGATCTTGTCTCGATCAAGCCTGTCTAAAATTGGTAAAGCAGTGTAATCATCTTACTGTACCTTTGAAGCAGTGGGTTGAGAGTGTCTTAATAATTTGCTCCAACTCATGGCACTTGTCTTTCCACTTTTTCTCCGTATCTGTTGACATGCTGAAAGTATTTTTTAATTATAAAAGTATAAAATATAGGCTTAGCCTATAGTTACATGATGTGAAAAACAATATAATATACAGTCTATTAAAGCCTGAGCTAATCAAAATACTTACACTTACATCATGTATACACATCCTACAGTACTAGTAGGGGAACGGGTGCTGGTAGAGGTCAAGTGTAGGGGTGGGGCGAGGTAGGGGTACCCTAGCTGCTAACCCTATCCGAATCGTTACCTTTTATTACCCGAATCCAAAAAAATTATAAAACAGGCAGATTCTTTCTGGAAGACTGCAATATTGATATAACTTTCACTTTCATAATTTTGAAGTCATCATCATTGCCTTAATTCTCACCCTGGATCAGGATATATAGGCCACGAACAAACACTTTCCACCTTTCCCTATCCTGAAGTTGCTTAAATTGATATCACTCCATGTCTTCCCACTTTTCTGTACATCCATTTCCATGACTCTTCTCCAGGTTCCACATGGCCTTCCCCTGATCTTTTACCCTGTGGGTTCCAATCTAACATTTCCTTGTTTTGCAGCTGCGCTTGACCTCCTGAAAGTGTGTCCGATCCATCGCCAATGTCTTCTTCCCACCTCATCTCTGACTGGGCTCTGTCTCCTTCTTCTTAATACTTCCATGTTGGTGATCTTGTCTGTCCATCTGATCCTCAGTAGCTTCCTCAGACACTTGTTAAGAAAACCTGGTTCCTCTTTATGCCACATTTGAGATGCGTTCCATGTCTCACATATATGTGATCCATACAACAAAGACTGACTTCACACATGTGAGTTGAAAATTCCCAGCTTTGTCCATAGTGAGATAGATCTATCCCTGGTCCTCCAAATCATGTTCAAAGAAATAAATGCAGTCTGTGCCTTTCCCATGCGGAACTTTATTTCAGGGCCTGTTCCTCTCTCTCTGTCAATTATAGCCTACTCCCAAGATAGCAGAAGGATTCGACATCTTCTAGTGCATTACTCTACTGAGACCTCTTCCTTTCATAGTGCATCTATCTTTAGGACTTTTGACTTTCCGGGGGGGGGGGATCCTCAATCTAACACTAACAGACTCTGACAGGCAGTTTAAAATAGGCCTAAAATAATGTTGAAGTACCAAAAGTCAAAGGTCTCATAAATAAAATAAAAATAAAATACGTAGCATATTATATTATATTCTAGATCTACATTTTAAACTTTCTTTTAGTTGTTGAACAGTTGTTAATCAGTTGACTTTTAGGTAAATAAACTTACGTTGGTTACGAAGAAAGAACGCAAACAGTTTGCAAGTCTGAACAATCTAGATATCTAGATTTTCTAGATCTAGGAAGTAAAAGTTTTGGGATCGTTGAAATTTCGTACAATGTTCCACTTCCTTGTTTCGGGCTCTTGGGCCTTGGGGGCGTCTGTGACCTTTGACCTCATACATAAAAACGCGAAAAATATTTTAGATAGGCCTAATATAATTTTGCGAGCGTTTTTTGATGTCTTAGATCATGAACTACCTTGTTGCTGTTGCGATCTTTTCAATAAATCGAGTACTTTCCCATAAGAAAAACGTTTATACATAAGTATTAAAATATCGATACTCAAAATTCAGCAGATCGATAATATCACTCGTCAGAATCAGAAGTTCTTCCTGTTCGTCTAGAAACCACAATGTTTTGATGTTTTTGTCTAAATGACTAATGGTCATAATGTTTACCCAAAGCCGAAGGTGGATTATCAAAAGATAGATCTAGCCAACAAGTTGTACCTAGAAATCCAGGATACAGAATAGCCATGGCAACAAGGGCATTACAGAAAAGCTTTGTGTTACCAAGCTTTGTTTGTGTCCTGCTGTATGCTTCCAGTGTTTATTCTACCATACTGTCATACAACAACAAATACTCAAATAAACAATACCCATACTTTGTGTCCGCGGAAGCGGAGAACAACGAACTACTGCACCTACTCTCAAGAAGTCAATCAAGCCTTGATCTGCACAGCATTGTAAAAGATCGTGAACGAAGGTCTCCTGAAGCAAATTCTGACAAGCCTGAGCCTTCTCCTTTTGTGAAAAATGTTACTTTGAATGGGACCACAAACTCTGGATATGCTTATGTACATTGGATCGGCCAAGATGTTAGCCAGGTAATATTGTCATTGTTATAATGATGCAGATCTTCAAGCACTTGCACTAGTTTGTTATGTTTTTGCCTGTGGGTGCTATTGTTGTAGTTCATGAAGCTACAGCAAGCACCTAGCACACCTAGATCTATATAATAGGCCTATGCCTATATGATACTATGGTTGGCCCTACTAATATAGATCTAGATGACGTATTTCGGCCATCTATTAAAAAAATTTTTTGTCGTCTTCCGGGTCTTCCCTCGCCAGTTGACTAGGTCTCACCGTGGCGGGTCCGTGTTGCTGCTTGGGCTCTGTGCGTGTGTGTGTGTGCGCGCGCACTTGTGCATCATGTGTGTGTGTGTGTGTGTGTGTAAAACTTTCAGCAGAAGGTAAATTTATGGTACAAGAATTGCTGAGATTGTTTACAAAAAAGAAAACACAAATTAATAGCCTACAATAAAAACCCAAACAAACACTGCGAGATCTAGTCAACAGTTACTGGCGAGGAAAACACAAGAGTCTTGGGGGAAACCCTGGAAGACCACAAAATTTGATGGTGGAAATACGTCTCATCTCTTTGTTAAGACCAGTCACAGGTGTACTAGGTGCTCGCTGCAACTTCATGTTATTGATTGTAGTTCCTTTGGGAGACTTTAACTTCGAATTATTTTTGACATATTTCAGCTTGGGATGTCAGTCCGCAGTCCAGAGACTTAGAATGTTAGGCGTTTCGCCACATGATATTTTAGAAAAGTCATTGTGACCTTATTCTTATTATAAATTCACCACCCAGCAATGAAACATAACATGCAAAATGGGAATAAAATCCGACTGCACAGTGCTGAAGAAATTTTTTATATATATATATATATATATTTTTTTTTTTTTTTTTTTTTTTGTGAATGATATATTTTTAACTATTTCCGGACGTATTGCCGATATATCGGTGTGAGTCCACTCCCCGTGCGGACATTGCCGATATATGGGCTGTGACAGGGTGCCTCAGTATTGTTTTGTTTTAACCTGATCTGTCGTTTTACTTTTTATTGTCATTGAAAACTTGGAAAGGATTTAGGAAATTAATGAAAACATCTAATTTCATTTTGTCAAAGCGTCGGTTAAGCTTTTAGTGAAAAACAAGTTAAAATTAGTTCTTGTCGTCTTGCATCAACAAAACGATGTAACTGGACTCAGTATAAATATTATTTACTCTTGAATCAAACAAAAATTGGAATATTGCTTTCAAATAAAAAGCTGCACTTTCAGAAATTTATGGATGCTCTTGACCTGTATATGACATGATCATAGCTATACTATGCTGATTTGCTTTCACATGTTTGGTTAATATAATTTTTTACTGTCAACATTTATTTTTCTCATCACCATCGCCACTTCTAACCCTTGTAATGCATACTTGTGTTCAAAATTAATCCTTGTTTCATATTGAAATTGTGAGAAAAAAAACATACTTTTTAACGCTTCGTTGCCTTACGTCGGTACGTCATGAAAATGGGTAATTTTTTGCGCTGTGCAGTACCGTGTATGTCACGGAAGTTGGCAAAAATTTGCTGCCCCTGGTTGCCTATTCAACGTTAGGCCTACATATTATGTATGGCATGACTGTACTGTCGGGACATCACAATCACAACATCTAGAAGACAGACATTGAAAGCAGCAGGAGAGACACAACTACACCGGTGGACGTACGCTTTATTACTGAAACTTCTCTTTTCTAGATTCTGTGACGATTGCATCTAAGACAACAATTACGTAACTGCTTACGCGGCTTGGTTACGAGTTGCCAGTGGTTACCATTGCCAGGTTTCATAATTACAAGGCAATAGAGATGGTTTGCCTAATGGTAATGGACATTACAATAACCTGGCTCTAATTCTTCTCTACGGAGTTTTAGCCACAATGGCCGCTTACATTCATATTCAGGAATAAAAGACGCGCATATTATCAGTACCCAATTTGCTAGTATTTCTTTACTGCTTGGTTTGCAAGCAATCAATAAACGTTGATCTAGGCTTGGGGGCGGCAGCATGTCCTCATAAAAGTAAACATCGAAATGACTTTAACAAGGCAAATAAATTCACTTTTTGACTTTGATTCGAAATTAGGAGTAACATGGGATGAAAAAGAGAATGAGAAAGGTGAAACAGTCAAAGACCAGGTGTCCAAAATGTGTCATGAGAATGCTAGATCTAGACCGTGTGTCCATTAACTCATTTCAGACAGTTCCCGCAACAGATGCGTGACCCCTGCCGCGATGCTCGCGATGGTTCCTGCAGGCCCTGCATAATCAACTTTGGAACTTTTTTTTTCGCTTTACAAATCCCGCCCGCATCGCGTGATCTGTCTCATGCCCTTGTTTGGCCAGTCCTGAGCTATTTAGACTTAGTTTCGTATCTCTGGGGCCGTAAGTTTTTAGTAATTGAAGGTGAAGAACAGTCATCCCAACTGGGGTTGAACTGACCAGAACTCACGCTATATTTTTTCAATACAGCTGATAGTAATTTGACACTCGCGTTGAAGTAATAGTCGAAGAAGTCACATGAACAAGAATCTCATAATTTCGCTCTTTTCGATACTTCTGTTTGTGTAACTAGTTCTAGTGCCGCAGAATTTAAATTTAATGTGTCTAATAGCTCTAGAACCCTGGATATGTGCCCGAACACGGCCTGAGTTGTAGTTTTAGTGCTAGTTCTAGCACTAGTACTGATGCTGTTGTTAGCGCAACGAAATCACAAAATCGTGCCCTACATCTGTCTCATGTAATTCAGTGTATGGGTCTGAATCAACGCACAGCCCAGCTTTTATATTTTCACCAAATACTCACACATGCATACAAATCAAAACAGAACACTTTGAACTTTTATTTTTGTTGTTTTTGTGAATTTCATTCTATCTGTCACATCTCTGGAAATTTTTCAGAAAATCAAATTCATGCCAATTTGTTAAAAAAATCATAAAAATTAAAATATTAGACTTCTAGACAACTTAAGTTTTTTGTATTAGATTAAGCTTGAATGTAACTTTATTGTGTCAAAAATAATTACAATCGGGTAATTCTGAGACGGCCGTGCAGCCCCGGCATTGAGAAGAATGGGATTGACGTGATGCTAGCGTGTCATATGAGGCAATTAGAAGGCAAACCAGGTGGTGACTCCTGAAACAGAGTCATCCTGCCTCCAGGTCGGGGGTTGAGTCACGAGGCTAACAGCCTCTCTCGTAAAAAGAGCCTGTTACAGAAACACATACAAGCAAAAACCATTATCTCTGCTTGGCTGGTCGTGGATCTTCTTTGAATGGAGAGTTTGTGACGCAAGGCAATGAAAGCCGGAAGGAAGCTGCTGGGCAGAAGCCTCCACCATCATTCAAGTCCAAGTCTCTTCGGATTGGCTCGTGGAACGTTTGGACCCTTTATGAGGCTGGAAAAACTGCACAAGTCCTCCAAGAGATGCACCAATACTAACTACACATACTGGGAATCAGCGAGACCCACTTGAACCAGTCTGGACAAAAGTGAATGAAAGAGGGGGAGCTTTTCATTTATTCAGGAAATGACAGTGATGGACCTCACAGGGAAGGAGTAGGGATGATCTTATCCAAAGCAGCTCAAAAGACATTCAGGGGCTGGGAAATGCATGGTCCAAGGATCATCATGGCCTCATAAGGAACCAGGAAAGAACTCAAGGTAAGAGATGGTAGGAAGAAGGTTATAAACATGAACGTCATACAAGTGTACGCTCCAACCAATGATGCAGAAGAGGGCAATAAAGATGACTTCTACAACCACCTGCAGAGTGTGATCGACAAACTTCCTGGTAAGGGCATCAACATTGTCATGGGAGATCTAAATGCAAAGATAAGTTCGGACAATAGTCACTATGAGGCAGGCATGGATTAGGAGAGGCAAATAACAATGGAGAAAGGTTCCAAAACTTCTGTACATTCAACAACCTGGTTATTGGAGGAACAATCTTCCCACATAAAAGGATTCACAAGGCCACTTGGGTCTCCCCGAACCTCAAAACGGAAAACCAGATTGACCATTTCTGCATCTCCCGAAAGTTTAGACGCTCACTGGAGGACGTCCGAGTCTTACGAGGAGCAGACGTCGCATCAGACCACCATTTGATCCTTGGAAAGATGAAACTGAAACTGAGAAGGTATGCACAAGTCACAACTGGAAGTAAGCACTCTGAAAGACTCAGTAAAGAAGAATGAGTTCAAGTTGGAACTGAAGAACAGATTTCAAGCCCTTCAAGATCTGGATGAATTTAAAGTCAACGAACACTGGGACAAGATAAAAGAGGCAGTGAATGCAACTTGCCAAAACACTTTAGGACCCAAAGACAACACCAGGAATGAATGGATTTCACAGGACTCTCTAGACAAAGTTAAAAGAAGAAGAGAGCTGAAGGCCCAAGTCAACAACAGCCGTACCCGAACTGAGAAACTCGATGCACAACAAGAGTACGCCGAAGTAAACCAGGAGGTAAAGAATTCCATTAAGAAGGACAAGAATACCTACCTGAATGGTGTGGCCAAAAAGGCAGAGAAAGCAGCAACTGACAGGCACTTGCGGATTGTACACCAGACAACAAAAACTCTTTCAGGTAGGTTCAGCAAGCCCACTCTACCAGTGAAAGACAAAGAGGGAAAGACTATTTTCAACCCAGAGGGGCAACTTAACAGATGGAGAGAACACTTTGATCAACTCTTGAACAGACCACCTCCAGAAAACCAACCAGAAATTCTTCCAGCCAGAAATTACCTCCCAATAGTTATGGAACCACCTTCAAGAGAGGAAATTGCAGCTGCTATAAAAACACTGAAGTCCCACAAGGCAGCTGGTCCCGACCATATACCACCGAAAACCCTTAAGGCAGATGAAGATACGATAGTGGAAATTCTCTATGCTGTATTTGAAAAGGTTTGGCAAAAGGAGGAAATACCATCAGACTCAGACTGGAAGGAAGGCCACCTAGTCAAGCTGCCAAAAACCTCAGCAATTGTAACAACTACAGAGGCATTACACTCCTGTCCATACCTGGGAAAGTCTTTAACAGGATAATCCTGGAGAGAATCAAGCTGGCAACAGACGAGAAGCTCCGGGGAAACCTGGCAGGATTCAGCAAAAACCGATCTTGTGTGGACCAGATCGCTACTCTGCGCATCATTGTTGAGCAATCGCTTGAATGGAATTCACCACTCGTGGTCAACTTCATTGATTATGAAAAGGTGTTGACAGCGTGAACAGGGAAACTCTGTGGAAACTCATGCAGCATTTTGAAGTACCTGACAAAATCGTCAAGCTTGTGAAGGCCACCTATAATAGAACAAACTGCCAAGTCTTCCACAAAGGACAACTCTCAGAACCATTCCAGGTACCGACAGAGTACGACAAGGATGCTTGCTCTCACCTTTTCTCTTCATACTGGCAATTGACTGGGTCATGAAAGAAGCCACCAGAGGCAAGCATAATGGAATACAGTGGATCCCTTGGCAGCAGCTGGACGACTTGGACTTCGCAGATGACCTTGCACTGCTCTCTTACACACATGCTCAGATGCAAGAAAAGACCAAGGAACTCAACAGCCTATCAAGGAGTGTTGGCCTACGTATACATCCAGGCAAGTCAAAAGTAGTGAAGCTAGGAAAAGTTTCAAGCCCTGCTGTGACAGCGGAAGACACTCCCCTGGAAGAAGTGGACTCCTTTACCTACCTCTGAAGTGTCATTGATGGTAAAGGTGAAACCGAGGCAGATGTTAAAGCAAGAACCGCCAAGGCAAGGTCAGCATTCAATCAGTTATCAAAAGTCTGGAAGGCAAGCAACATCTCACTGCGCACCAAGATTCGACTTTTTAACTCCAACGTCAAGTCTGTGCTCCTCTATGGCTGCGAAACTTGGAAGACAACAAAGACAGTACTGAATAAAGTCCAGACTTTCATCAACAGATGTATGAGGAGTATTCTAAAAATTAAGTGGCAGGATAGAATAAGAAATGAAGAGCTGTGGGAAAGGACAGGACAAAAGGGTATAAAAGTAAAAATAGGACTAAGAAAGTGGCGATGGATGGGACACACCTTAAGAAAGCCCCAGCGGAAACATCACAAGACAGACACTGCAGTGGAACCCACAAGGAGCACGAGGCAGGGGTAGGCCATGGGAAACATGGAGGAGATGCACGGAAAGGGACATGAGGAGATGAAGCTCACGTGGAACGAGCTTGGAAGGATAGCCCAGGACAGAGATAAATGGAAGGAGCTTGTGTGTGGTCTTTACCCTGCCAGGGGTGAAAAGCATTGATGATGATGATGAATTCTGAGAGTTGGGGTGGTGTTTGGAAATACTCCCAAAAACCCCAGTCTTCAGCTCTCGTGACTGGTGAAAGGGCCCAGTAGTCAGTGAGTTAAAACTGAGACATCAGGCTGCTGTCCTGGGTAGCGAGCTCAGCTGAAATTCAGTGCTGACAGTAGGAATGCATACCCCTGGCAGCGAAAGGGTTAAAAATGAAACTACTAGGCTTACACCTGGATTGGTAAGTTCACTTACTAATCCCAACTGCCTTTCATTATTATTATTAGCCGCTACTAAACTCTGAACCTTCTACATAATGTGGGTCAGCATTGCATTGCTGTCATGGTTTTCAGCACTAGAAATGTCTTGATCCGATCTGGCCCATGTCCAAAAGTTGGAAAATGTTGCAAGGTTGTTTGCCATCATGCCAAAATTCATTTTGGGTCATCCGGAAAAAATTATTAATTTTGTTTGGTTATCAAGATTCGTAACTCAAACAATGCTCAATTGATTCATAAAGACAATAGTTACATACCCCTCAATATTATTTTACTTTCACCCGCATCTCATGCTCAAGTATTATGGATAGAGACTTTTCTTGTTCATTTTATTTTACACAAACTTTATATCAGTCGCTTATCAATATTTTAAAAGATATTTTTATGGGACCAGCTCCGAAACACTTTGGGTGATAAGATTTTTTTTAAAGGAAGCTTGAATGTGAGGGGCTGACAGTGAGTGAGCCACGCCTTAAGCCTATGGTTAATCATGTTCAACATACACTTCGTACAGAGATTAATGCTGAATATTAAATGTATTTTATGGTTTTAATTTGCAGGCAGAATCCTAAATCAACCTCCTATTTCAAATTGTACGCAGAGCACGGTATATATAATATATATTCAGGCTACATTTATTATCAAATTATATCCTTAGTATTTTCCAGGTTATTATCTGTGTATAGTCTTTCCCTTTCTTGTACACAGTCTTCTCCAATAGTTCCTGCCCATTTGCACAGCTGCACTTAACAGCCTCCTCGTGTTCACATTGTTTCGCGCTTTTAGTGAAAGTATGTGTTGACACACACTCTGTGCTAGAAACAAAGCTAATCTAGGTTATGTCAGTCTTTTTAAAAATCATAGTCAAGCCAACCATTGAAGAAGGAAATGGTTGCAGGAACAAGCAGTGTGCCTGGCTGGGTTTAGTCTGAACTCAAGCACTGCATTTTTTACTGGTCGGTCTTACAAGGTTGAACTCAAGGGATGCATTTTTTTATTTTTTTTGGTTAAGGTTAAATTCCACACTGGGCATTGTACAATTAAAACAGTTTTTTATATGAAGTTTCTCTTTCATTGACAATAGACTATCACGTAAAAGCTTAGACACATAGACTGTGATGGATATTAAAATTATAGTTCATTTATGGTTTCAGTTAGTTTACACACTAACGTTTGTTTTCTTCTGAATTGGGTTGTTTAATTTAGAATTTACCCGAGCAGCCAGAAGAGCCAGACCCTCTCCTCTTGGATTTTCATTAAAAAAATTTAATGCGATGGTGTCTTGATTAAAATTAATTGCTACAATTGCACACCTCATCTTTAAGATTTTCTCTTTTTCCAATGAAAGGATTACTGTACATCATGTCTTGCCTTGGATCAGGAGACTGAAAAAAAACCTAATGCAAAAAAAAGTGATACACCCCCTTGACTGTCAGAACACAGAACAATACTTGGACATTTTTTATTTTATGAGAGCACCTATACTATGCCTTTGAGCATGGGAATATACCCCCTCCCCCACTAATTATTTTAATTGCAAATGAATAAATTGAGTCCCCCAAAATTAACTAAAAAAAGAAACAAACCAACTGATTGAAATCATAAATGAACTATAATTTTAATATTGAGAGAAGCATATGGTTGACCAAAACCTTTTGACACTTTATTTTCAGGCTAATGGGATGGTCATGATAATTATTTTTGTATAAAAATGCAAAATCCTGAGTTTCAGTTTCCCTTGGTTGAATTTTAACTTATCTCTGAAATTCTAAGGGGAGTGCAAGGGAAAGAGAATAAAATCTATAATCATGTATGATGAGAAGTATACGTAAGTATGCGATTAAAAAGGGCTCCAGATAAGATAAACTTTGGAATATTCCATACTTCTTATAAGTAATGTGGGACTTGTCGGAACTTGAACTGCTAAAAATCAAAACATCAGGTCACATCTATGCATGACATAAATGTTGAATTTTTATTACTAATAGCAGAACCATTTCAGTATGTTTCCTTAATTCAAGAATCAGTGTTATTTGAAATTTTGGGCTTGAAAGTTGCAATTGTTATCTTTGATATACTTGAAGAATAGTAGAAGTGAACATAACTATTTTTTCGTGAAAGGCCATGGGGGCTCCAGTGGCTAAGTAAGTAGTGAGTTTAGACTCAAGTAATGTCAAGCAAGTGTCGGTGACATGGGGAACAGATAGGTGGTCACTGGGTTGTGTCCTTGAGCAAGACACGACAACCCTAGCTAAAAAATACAGGGTGCTGCACAGTGGCGACTGACAATGGCATGGTTGTAAACTGTTCTGTATTTGTGTAATATTGTGTAATTATGTATGTATTTGTACATGTATTTATTTTATGTATGTATGTATTTATAATACGCATATATATATATGTATGTATTCATGTATGTTTGCCATTGTAAACCAAAGCGCCCTTCTGGGACAAATAAAAGTGTAATCTATATTAATTCAGCTAGATTTTAAAACAAAGTAAAGTTGTGAGGCAGATGTTCTAGATTCTGCTGTTTGATTTAATTCAGTATTTCCAGGAGAAAAATTCTTAAGTTTATCAACTGGGAAAAAAAACTCCTGAGAAAGTGTTTTTCCCTAAATATCGTCTCAGTATTGGACTGGCGTGCTTCTCAAGTCGAGTTAATTTTGTCAAGTACAATTAAGATATGTTAAGAATTTATTGATCTCCACAAAGTTCACAAAGAAAAATTTGTTGCAGCTTGGTACACACAACACACACAAACACACACACACACAAACACACACACACACACACACACACACTCGTCAGCACACACACACTCTCTCTCTCTCTCTCTCTCTCATATACGCACACACACACACACACACACACACACACACACACACACACACACACACACACACACACACACACACACACATATACATGCTTACATGCACAGACGCCGAACACAAAGAGTCAATGAAATTGTGTCGATGCCCGAAGATACCTTGTTTATTCAGAATATTTTCTTTCTCAGAAAATCTTTGTGTTGACTTTTCGTCTGGACTCCTCAAGTGGAAAAAGCCTTGTACTTGACAGTCAAGTATGGAGGTAGGGTGGCCAATTATGAAAAAATGTTAAGTAAGGAAGGACTATTATAATAATACTATGTGTTTATACAAGTACTCAGTTGTTCGAGATATTCTTTTACAGATATCGGTTGTGCTAAATATTGCTGGTGATGCTTTATATGTTTTTGTTTCTTCCATTCATTGCTGTTGTATTTATCTGATTCTTTTTATTTATTTTCAAGGTCTGACCTAATATGATAAGAAGACAGTAAAAGTTTTAGACCTTGGTGACTGACTAATTAACCTAGTTGTATTCAATGTGTTAAAATCATGTTAATGGGCTGACAATTACATGTTCATGCAGTATTGGTCTCCTGTCTTTGTCCTGTGTTGTTGGTGTTTGTGTTTAAGTTTTAGTGTATGAGAAAAATCAATGAACTGCACTCTATTGTAGTGTCCTTTGCAGTTACACCATTTTCTTTCATTAAGAGTGCAATCTTGACTTCACCCTTCGGTTTATTGTTATCTTCAATTACTTGCTCCGTGTTGCTAAAATAGATGACAGTCAAATTCTTTTCTCTTTTACAGTTGTCTTGGTAAATTAGCAGAGAGAGATTTTTTTGAGGGCCACACTCTACTTCTTAGCTCCAAAATCTACAATAAAGTTATTTTTACTTGTTTTTCCTTATTTTCTCAAAGTATTCCATTCAAGGATTAAAAATATGCAGTTTTGGGAATCATTATTAGTTACACTAGACTCAGACCCGTTCTACAAACGGTAATATAGTGATAGAAAGCCGAAGATAAAATATTTGTACCGGTACCTGATTCATTGCTGTAGGACCTCTGTGTAGACAACATTGCTGGTATATGCACCATCTGGAACTCCGTCCCGGGCTGCAGGTCTGTTTGCATGTATCCTAATAGAGTCCCTGGACCCAACACTACTCATTGCGACATATAATTGTCAATGTGAAAAAAGTCGCCTTGTAAAGAAACCCCTATGTTTTTCAAAGTCTGTCCCTGAGCTTTGTTGGCAGTCATTGCAAAAGCAGGTCTAACAGGAAATTGTTTCCGTCGCATATGGAAGGGAAATATGTTGTCTGAAGGCATGAGGTGAATCCTTGGGATGAAAAGTCGCTTTCCGGCATGTGGACCGCAAGCAACGACTACATCAATTACATGTTGATGAAGGTGTTGAACCACATATCGAGTCCCAATGCAATGGCCATTTGTGAGATCCAAATTTCTCAGCAACATGACAATGTCAGTTTGTGAGGTGGCATACCTGACGGACATAGAAAACTGATAAATTCGATGGGGTATTGGTGTTCATTTTCTTCCACCGAATCACTGCTCCTGTAGACTTTTTTTTCTCCAGGAAAGGACTGCATGATCATGTAGTTGATTCTGTCTACTTCTGTGTTGGTGGGACAGATAATGTAGCAGGAAGCCAGCCAGTCAGGATTTGTGTTAGACTGCATGTTACAGAAGACAAAATTTATCAACTCTCGTTCGCTTATCACAAACTCCCCGATTTGCTTGCATACATTGTGCTTGCCATCACCAATGTTCAGTAGATAGTTGGAGAAATCAGCAGTCTCACCTGTAAGCAAAACCCTCATGTTTCTAGTCAGTCTGAGCACATTAACATGCTCCCACAGATATGATGATTTCAGGGTTGCATTGACTATCTGTGATCTTGAGCCTTGGCGAACTACTGATAGTATTTGGCGCCTGTCACCCAACATCAGCACAGTCAGCCCACGGAACAGAGAGTTATTCCCACATGTCCTGAAGTGTTCGGTCTGTGGCTTTAAAGATGTATTTGTGGCCCATTGATACTTCATCAATGATGAGCAGCTCTGTTTGGCATAATAAATTGCCACTGGCATCTCGGGGACTCACACTGCTCATGGACTGTTTGTTCACACACACAGGTATTTTGCATCTGCTGTGTAATGTTCTGCCATTTGAGAGCAGAGTTGTTGCAATGCCTGACAGAACTGTAGCAAGGGTGATCTTCTTAAAAGAATGGACAACCGCAAGAATCAGGTAATCAGGTTTATAGTGTGGGTCTTCCCAGTCCCTCCACTTGCCTCCAGGGCAAATATCTTGCCTCGCTTCTGTACAACTGACTCTATCACAGCATCATACACGACCTTTTTTTCTTCATTAAGCTTTGGGTACTCTTGACTCACCTTCTCTCTCAGGTTGTTTGTGTCAAAATTTAAATCGTCGTGGACAATTCTTGGTTGTTCTCCCTCAGCGTGACTATGTTCTGCAGGTGGCAGCTGAAAGTCTTTATGCTGATTCAACCCACCATTATCAAGAATGTGCTGAAGTTGTAACGACACTTAGTTCTCAATCTTCGGATTCAACTCTGTGACCTTGTCTCTCATCATGATGTCCCGGCACAGTTCCAATTTGTGCTTGTGCCAAAATGAGAGAGGATCAGCTGGGCAACAATAGATGAGAATGGTTGTAAAGGCAAGACGTAACTGGGGTCCAAATCTTATGGGAGATGCTACTTGCATTGCTGCATCCTTCTCAGTGTCACCATTGAGCAGTCCAAGTTGGTTGCATGCGTCTTGATTTGATGTGCAACTTGATCCATTTACTCGATGAAGCACAATATGGAATGGAAGTAGTTCTCAGTCAAAAAAACTAATATTCCGTTGGCCAATAGAAGCAGCTGAAATAGAACTATGTGGCATACACACACAACAAAACACAAACGGCACTTCTGTTCTTGCTAACTACTGCATAAAAGTACAAATCTGTCGCACACACACGACAAAACACAAACTGCACTTGTGTCCGTGTTAACTACTTTGAAAAAGTAGAGGTCTGTGGCACACACACGACAAAGCACAAATCGCACTTCTGTTCTTGCGAACTACTCACATGCACGAAGAAGCACAATATGAAACGGAAGTAGTTCCCAGTAAAATATGAAATGACTAATGGCAGAGTGAAAATGTCTGAGAGCTTCGATGTACAGGAAAAACATCAAACCTGAAAAATCAAAAGGTAGTTTCCAAACTTTGAAAATATGCCCACGTAACCCTTTGGGGCAATTCTTGTCTGAATCATAATTTTGTAGATTTTATGGGCACCTGTGTTAAAAGTTTTTACTGACCCCACAAACCTGCTTAGCTCCATTATAATAAGATAATCACACAAATGGCAAATTAGAGTGAAACCGGGCTAACTGAAGGACCATTTTCAAAAGCAAAAAACTCAAAAACCATCCATGCTATCTATGAACTAATTACATATTTGTACTTTGCTCACTAATCTTAAGAAAATGACGCTAGCTTTTCTTAAAATTGTGAATATTAATAATTTTATTACTTTTAGAAAACTTGCATATTAGCGAATGACGAAAATAGTTTTAAAACAGCAGAGTAAAAAAATTGTTAAAATTTTTTTTTTAGAGCTAGCATCATTTTATTTGGAATTGCATGATGCAGTTACCCTCCAAATTTAATGTCTTATTCTTGAATGTTTTTTGAGTTTTTAGCTTTTAAAGCCAAAAAATGAACATTTTGCAGAAAGGAGCAAAAACATCTCAAAATTGCTCTAAAGTATTGTATTGGTTCATAATGTTACAAACGTAAGGGAGCTATCTATTTGAAATAGAGCTTTGGGAGTATTTTCCTTCGATTAAGCACATCATTTTCTAGGGAAGTTTCTTAAAAACCAAAGAACATTGTTTTGACCCAAACTGGACCCCAAAAACGCATGTGTGACCTTAAAATTTTTAAAATCTTTTCTTTTTGTTGACTTTCTCTAGGTCCAGTGACTATGGCTCAACATTCACTTTACAGAATGATAAGTTCCAAGCAAAAACAAACATTTCACTTTTCTACACCTTCGCGACCAATTCAAGCAAGGTAAGTAGTAGCCTGTCTGTAGTCATGTCAACAAAGACAAGGCTAGAGAAACATTTGAGTAGAAAGCGTACACTGTGGTATCTAGTTAAAAAATCACATTTCAAGTTGCTTTTGGGGATCTCAGGAAATGAGGCACTTGACATCGTTTACATTTGTATCTTATGCTATTTGGTTTGGGCGCATTTTTGAGAGGTGGCTGAAACATTTTACTCTCTATTGTTCATTATGGTGAAGGAATGATGTTGGTCCTAGCTTGTCTCTGACCGCCTCATGATTGGCTAGATAAAGTGTTAATTGTTAGTGAATGCAATTGCTTCTTAGTCTTAGTAAGGCAAGAGTAGAACTGTATTTTTACTAAGTCAAATAAGACACTGTAAGATGGGTGGAGAGAGAGAGAAAAGGGCAGAGGGATATGGCTGCATGAAAGTTTGATGCTCTCAGGCTCTTCTTATTCTTGATGTCACAAAGCTATGCCCACTTCCAAGCACAAGGAGCTCGTTGGCCAGTCTTTAACTACACCCTTCAACGGGGGCATATAAGAATGCATGTGAGCACTGGCTTTTCATGTCAATCACTTAATGCTTTTGATTGGCTTAGGTGCTTCTTCCTTTCCCATGAACATTCTGACC